AATGCGAGGAGAACGATGCACCAATCTGCATCTCCTCACAATTTTATCCAAAAGAAATATTTTCATTTTTATAGAAGACATTTTGAAGGAAGAAAATCAGTAAAAAAAGAAAAAAAATTCAAAAACAGAATTTATTAAATGCTCTGAAGCACATTTCACAATAGCTCATCAAAACGTATTTTAGTAATACATTAAAAAAATTCATAACTTTTTTCTTTCAGAAGTGCTTATGTGATATGAGCATCCATTAAACGGATTACAGCTGGTATTTTGTAAAACGTTGACAAACTATTTAAACATTTATGCATCCAATTTCATTCATATCTTCAATATAATTAAAATTTGATTTCAATCAGGATGGTTGTCAACAATTGAAAATTGATTATAATTTCCACAATTTAAACAATCAAGCCTTCAATTGAGAGCATATTACCCGTTAATTATTGTTCTTGTAAAGTTATCCATTACTACATTTTGGTACAAACTACACATTAAATAACTATATTATTATATTTCAATAAGGATCATGTTCACGTCACATTCAATTAATATGAAAATTCTTATGCCTACAAGAATACAACCCATTGTGAGCAGCCTAACATACTATTTACACACTAGTATTCTACTTTAATAAAGAACATATATTGTAGCACATAATAAACTTATTTAAATTTATGGTTCCAATATATTTATTTTTTGAAATTTATAAAAAAAAATAACCCTGTAATTAAACATATTCACATTTATTGAAACAATTATTGTTACCATTCATACACTCATTACATGGACACAAATTAATAGTTCAACAATATTACAATATATACTTATTTAATAATTAACATATATTTTAGTAAATACTATTCAGTTCACATTTCATCCTGTTAAGGTAAACTAAATTACCCAATAAAATAAAATAAATATTAACAAATTGAGCACAAATATTCATATTTTATCATAAAATCTAATGAACAAACACAGTTATTTTGGATATTTAAACTTATTTTTTTGAAAGACCACAATAAATGAAGCATACAGGCTTCTGAAATGTAATGTTTAATTATTCAAAAAGTATTTATTATATATTGAAACCAATGTTCCGAAGAGATTTTAAAAGTAGGACTATTAGTTCCTTAACAATGTTCCTAAGTTTGTGTTAGGTTGACATGTGAACCCCTTTTATTTGCATAGAGAAAAAAAAACAAGTGCATTTAATTTATATGTAGCCGTGAGTTTACATGCTTAATTCATATTTTGTCATGTGTACAAATAAATAAATAAAAAATCGCTCAAAATTTTTTTAAAACAATGTAATTTGGTTTCAGCTGATTAAATTCTATTTATTGTCACAATGTGAATAAAATCAAATAGAATTAAAAAAATAAAATAAAATAAACATGAAATACAATTTTTATAATTAAATCCAAACCTCATTTTTCTACTAATAAGTATAAAAGCAATTAAAAATAGTTAATAAACAAGTGATGGTCACATTACATTCACTTATAATCTATATCCCTGTCATTATTTATCATAAAAATTGCATCCATATTTTTTAACCTAAAGAAAAAAATAAATTTCAAGCAGTTATGTTTTCATAATTCTCCATGTAATTTCAAAATTGATACTATTTATTTTCTTAATAGGGTGACATCAAAAATATATTTATTTTTGTTGCACAGATACTCCTCAATTTAAAAAAGTTTGGAGTATCCTGTTAGTAAGTTAAATTTAATTTTAAAAAGTCCGAATCAGGCCTGTATTTGGATACTTTATATTTAAAGGTTAAAGTAGAATAAATTTTCTTACAACTGTATAAATTAGGTAATTTGAAAAAATGTGTAATAGAAAATATTACCCATTTTCTATTATTTTAATTTATTGATCTGTATTAACAAATGACTCTATAAAACTACATTGTACCAAAAAATTTTGGTTGTTCATTTGGAAAACGACCATCTTGCATATACACAATTTGTTAGGGCACATGATAATGTTATATAAATTTAACAAAGGATATTTAAGGTTATAGTTGGCATTTTTCTTTAATGAACTTGTCCTAAGTTAATTGAACTTAGCCCATAAAGGTATTGTATATTTGCAAATTAATTTTAATGCTAATGAAAATGATTCTATTTATTGTTATTACAATTTTTGTAGGTTAAAACTAATCATTAAATTTTAACATTTAATTGTTTATGGTCCATTTCAAATGTTAATAATGTGTAAATATGTTATAATTCAATTATATCGTTGTTTTTATACCATTATAGCGGAGTGACTTATCCTTTAAAATGTATTTTTAAATCTTTTTGTAATAGCCTGCTATATGCAATAATTTTGTTTATACGCTGATTCAGCTCTTTTATCCTTATCATTCAAATAATGAGAACATTTGCAGTCTGAAATTAAATATGTACAATAATAAAATTATAGAAAAAAAATTATCATAGACTTTAGTTACCAACAAACAAAGTTAACAATATACATTATACAATTTTTTTTTTTTTTGTAAACGAGAATTCATTTTATTCTCGATTTCAATAATTCAATTGTATAATATGCAAATTGAAAGAGATTACTTTTCTAAGCTGTTTTATTTATATGACACATTAGCTGTTGTTGAAGAAAATAAAGAATGAATTAGGACCGCAGTCAAAATTAATTTAGTGATTTTATACAACTATAAACTGATTTTATCAACAATTTATTCTAAAGTATTTATGCGTAATACCATTCTTCAATCAACTCACCAACTGTGCAGTACAATTCACAACTATGCTGAATTTTCTTTCTTTTGTTTATATATATGTATACATTTTTTTTAAATTAACTTGCTTTTGGAAACAGTAAATATGACTTTTTACGTATTTGAAAATGTACAACATATATGGTTAATTATTGCAGACGAGTTAAACGTCTTTTGAGTTTAAAAGTTTTTGTAACATTGTATGTAAATATAACAGATAACAACAGAAAGCTGAACTAGGTTGCTTGCAGCAAGACCACTCATCGTTATTCAAATATCGAACTAACCTATATACATACATGCAATTATTACTATACACCATACGTTTTATATACAAGTACAAATTTCACATTTTATACTACAATTTTAATCAATTCCATATTAAACATTATTTGAGCTTATTTAAACAAGGTATATTTAAAGGCTTTGGCATGATTTGATGTTAATCATACGATTTGAATTGTAAATTTCCAATATATATCTCACCTATGTTGTTCTATGAAATAATTTTTAAAGCACAATTTACACTTTGTATATAACGAACTTTTGAGTAAGGCCTTCTCAGGATTCTATTTTATTTATCGTGAAATTGAAGGGTACTGTTAAGTACATCCACCCTTAATGTAAGACATGGAATTACTTTTAGCTAAAAATTTTATGTATTATGTGCTGTATGCCACAGTAATATACATACTTAACCTATTACTGATACTGTGTAAATATTACAAAAAGAAATATATACTATTTTATTTATTTTTATTTTTAATCTTTTTGTGTATTGTTAAATATAATAAAATGGTTGTAAATAATTACATGTCTTTAATTAAAAAAGAAATAAATAAACTACCCAAAAACCTAATAATAATAATTTAAATTATAGTTAATTACAGAATTTGAGCAGGTTATATTAAAAAAGTTATGAAGCAACTAGTTGCTAGATAATTTAAATAGACATTTAAGATTTAATATTTTACTGTTCTAACTGCTATATTTGTAAGAAAGGTAACTTCAATGCCAATGCTTGCCATTGACTTACAACATTTCATATTATTTATAAACATTTCGGTTTAAACAACACGTAAATGACATTAGATTTAAGTTACTGCCATAAAAAAATACTTTATTATTGTAAATATATTTTTTTAACAATAGAAATATACGGAATTCTGTTGATTGAAATACATTAATAAGCTGTTGTTATAACGAACCCAAAATTTCATCCAGTGTTAAATTGTTGAGCAAGAAGTGGTTGGATGGCATTAGTAGCTAAAGGATTTATTCAATTTCATCCTTGAATATCCTTACAATAGATAGTTTCAAATTATATGTTTCGCCTTTAAATATACCTATTATAACAGTTAATTAAACATAGCCTACTTCTTGCTTTTCCCTTTTATAATTTTTTTTAAGGTAATATTTTCACTGAAGTTAGACTTCTTTAGTAGGATTTTTTTTTGAAGAAACTATGATTTAATCAATATAAACTTTCTTAATATGAGGAATTTCAGTTTCTCCTTTTGACAACTTTCAGGGTTTATCCTATTTGTCAAAACAACCTGCATATATTTTTATTTATTTTTTAGTTAAATTTAAATATATATTTCTACGCCAATTAACACTAATTAAATAAAGTATAAATTAAAACTTGAATTATCATTAACCTACAGTAACAAAATATATAATACATTGAATCATTTATTGGTCAATTTTTTAATATAAAATGTTTTTTATTGATAATGTTTATGTTAAAATTATAACAGTGGTTACAAATGTTACCATATTATGTATACATGCGTTATATTATGCATGTAATAACGTATCACAGATACAATACATTTGATATTTGAAAAAGGAGTTTATCTTTTAAAATATTACTTTTGTTATATTCTACATCTAAAACAATTTAAGAGCAGATAAAAAGTTTAACGGAGGTTTGTAGGATTCAATCTATTATGTAAGATTTAATACATACCTAGATGAGAATGAAATAAATACATTTGTAGTTATTTATACCAATTTCAATAATTTTGTATGCATGTAATAATAACGATGCATTCAATATATTGGGAATGAATATGTTAATAAATTGGATAAGTCTAGAAAGGTTGGAAAATTTGACATTTAAAATAAATATGAAAAGTTTACACAAAGTTTATATTTATTTCGTTTTTCATTCATTCATTAGGAAATAACAATATCATTATATATTATTATTATTATTTATTATTTATTATTATTATTATTATTACTATTATTATTATTACAATATTAATTAAACAATTCGATCACAGTTGTAGATAAATATGCACATTCTAACACTGACACTGAACAAATTAGTGAACCATCCTGAAGCAATGACAATTTTCAAAATGCATTTATTCATTAGGCATCAAAAATGCATTAGAAATTATAACTGAACTTATTAGTGAACCATACTGAAGCATTGACAATTTTCAAAATGCATTTATTTATTAGGCATCACAAATGCATTAGAAATTATATCACATGAGCATTTAGTACATGTTTATGTGGTATTTTAACAACAAGAATATGTAAATACATACTTCTGCTTTGTCAAAATTATAATAGACAAGTAAAACTCTAACTCTTTAGAGTTATGAAGTTTTTTATTTGGTGACTGACTTTCATTTTCAAAATTTACTTCCTTGTATAAAAATAATAAATATAATTGACCTTTGCTGTTAAAATGCCATTTATAATAACAAGAATTTAAAAAAGTAAAAGAAATTTGCCATTTTCATTACAAAGCATGTTCAAAATAAAAAATTTCATTAGAGAAATTGATTTTTTTTTGTACAATGGTAAGTAGTGAAAAATCAATATGTGTTAAAACCATAAACCAGCAGAGTTAGAAAAAATGATCTTATTCAGTGTTTATTTAAATGTAAATATAAATTTAACTGTTATATTAAAGAAAAATTGTTCATGCTAATGACAAACTACCTGTTGATACTGACAAGGGGTCAAAACACTTTAGAAAAGTTTTGCTCGAATTATTATCAAAATCCCATGGGCTGTAGTAAATTTGAACCCAGAACCGCTAGCATGGCAAATTATCAGACATCCTAGCCACTTGGACACCTCGATCCCCCAACTGCCAAATTATTGTAAATATAAAATGTAAGTTTAATTTTGTACAAGGATAAAATTAACGCTTGTATCAATAAAAAAATATTCCCTAGGAAATTCCCAAACAACTCAAATGGCATTAATACATTTATTACTTACCATTTTGTTTTAATTATCTCTATAGCTTATTTAAATTTTCAGCTATTTATATTGAAGTAAAATAGAAAAAATTAAATACAAGCATACTTAACAGTGTTTACCATAAACCATTAAAACAACAAACCCATTTTTAAATTTGGCACAATATAAGTGGTGTATCAAATTGGAAATTTTAGTATTCCAACATAATACACCATTAACACAGTCAATGAAAATATTTTTTCTTTGGTTACTAGGCCATGCTGTCATGTTTTAATTGAATGTTATTTTTCAGATCTATTCATATCCTAATTTTGAAAGTTGCAGTGCATTTAATTTACCATTACGAAAAATGCTAATGCTGATAGTAATCTCTAAACTTAATGTTTTAAAAAGTAGATTTAAAACAATTATTACAATGTATTTACAGTGTTAGAATAACCATATCTGGTTTATGATTTTTTTTAAAGAATACCCTTCAACATTGAACCTGGTTTTTGGTGTCTTTATTAAATTTCACAATATTGTTCAATTAAAAATAAAATACTACCTTGTGTACAATTTACATTGAACATACTGGTCAATTTGAAAAGTCATGACGTAAAAATTTCATTCGTATTAGGAAGTAGATTCACCAAAACACAGAAGTAAAAATAGCAGACCTCTTTTTTATTGTACAATAATATGAGGTGCTGATAGTAGGACGGTTACAGTAGCGATTACTGTAAACAATGTAAATATTATAAGACAGAATCTATCAACAACCATTGCAGCAAATTTCCAATCACTTATTATATCCGCTTCTTCGTCGGCTTTCCTCATTCTACCAGTTATAAACTGGATTTCCTTGAGGATCACTTGAAGCTCACGTTGCGCTGCTAAACATGATACACCACTGCCATCATCAGAAGGTCCTCCCGCCTTGAGGTAACTAGTACTGCCTGCAGTGTGTCGGAAATCATCATCAATATCCAACACATTTGCCAACAGGCTTTTTGACGATCTTTCTTTAAGTTCTAAGTCTTTCATTCTAATATTCATAGTGATAGTTTTTCTTGTAATTTTTTTCCCAGGCCTACTCATACGAAGCACCCAAGGTAGCCATTGAAGAAAAATTGTTCTTATCTAAAAAAAAGAAAAGAAAAAAATTAAAATAAAATAAAATAATTTATAACTACATACATGTTATTAACCCTTAATTACTAATGATCTGAGAGAGAGAGAGGGAGAGAGAGAGAGAGAGAGAGAGAGAGAGAGAGAGTGAGAGAGAGAGAGAGAGAGAGAGAGAGAGAGAGGGTGAGAGAGTGAGGGTGAGGGAGAGAGAGGGTGGGAGTGAGTGAGAGGAGGTGAGAGAGGGGGAGAGAGAGGGTGAGAGGGGAGTGAGAGAGAGGGAGGGGGTGAGGGAGTTAGAGAGAGGGGCGATAGGGGGCGAGGGAGAGAGGGGGAGAGAGAGAAACAAGCTACAAAAAATTTCATAAGTAGTTGGCAAATGTATATGTGTTCCTCTTCTTCCATTTGTATTATAAAATTGGAGCCGCAGAAACAAGCCTGTGCAAAAGCATGGCAGAAGAAGAAACAGATGAACATGTCCTCTGTTGGAGGCTTATACAATAGATTTCTTCTCACAGGAGACGAAAAGCTCAGGCCTGAAGGATAAAGCTTGACAAAGCTCTGGGAGCTGGGGTTTTAAGGTTATGGAAGAACTCTAGGTAGTAATGGAGAATAGACCAATATTGGTCATGGTGCATAAAGACTGCTTTTAACCTGACCTTAACTTCTTTTCATTTTAACTTCAAATAAGTTAGATAGCAATACAATAAAGATGTAGAGTCGTGTAGGGCACAAGTATGAAAATAATTCCGTTTAAGGTTTCGGAACCATCTCTCAGACCTACATCATGTAGGTGTAAATGTAAATTCAGTGTAATTGCACACCAATGAGTCCCAATTAATAAATGTATCTGAATATTAGGCTCAGTTTTAGTGGGTGTATTTCTTCTACAATTCAGTTCTATGTCCTAAAGAATTGTTTTCCGAGGATTAGTCGTGTGACGAATCTACACGTGTTGGTTGATGTCATCTTCTTCAGGTGACTTGTTTAGAATCCTGTTAGGATCTGGAGTCTCTTCTTGCTTCCTTTTTTAAGCATTCTGATGTTTCTCTCTTCCCAAATATTACCAGAAGGGTTTAGATTGTTTGTGTCTTGTGAGTGAAATTCATGGCCTCCTCATTTGCACCATGTCTTCTTCCCAGTTGTTCCATGATTGTGTGCATTTTGATACCATAAAAGGATTCAAGACCTGTCAGTAATGTAGCAGCCAATTTACATTTCCTTTTCTATTTCTGAGAGTACCTAGTAGACAGTGATTTTGTTTTGCCTAATCTCTTTTGTTTGGTTTTGCAATTCAGCACCATTCTCAAACTAATAATGATATTTGTGTTTAATTATCCAAATGCTACTTGGAGTCTAACTAATATACTTTGTTTTTATATCCTCTGTTTAAATGAAATGTACATCTCTCAATTGCATGGATTTTGACTTGAAAGATATTAGTTACGTGCCCAAGGGCTCTACTTATTTGGTTTTGAGGCAAAATAATCATGCCCTTCCCAACATTCATAGATTAGACAGACAAACAGCCCTAAAATCAAAATCTCCAAAACATGGAAAAATGTAACAACCTGACAATGCCTGGGCGACATGGCAATTCCAAGTAATGAATCCAAGTAATGAACAAGCAGGAAAACTGGCCAGATATGACCATATATAGGCCTGGAATTTATACTTGGGATAACAAGATTAAACATTCTTCCATCTCAGAATGGGTCCACCAAATACCAAAGGAGAAGTGGACAAATTTCAAAGGTGTCAGACACAGAAAACTCATCGTGGTAAACACATTGCTACAGCAAGCAAGGTAAAACTCAGGGTAGTGATATGACTACCAGTCACTGGCATCTGACACCCTACACCACATGAGTAAATTTGATGATAACCACATTTATTCGCTATGCAACCAGAATAAGAAATGCCACCCAAATCATCTTCAAATGCAAAGCAACTACTCAATGGAGACCTAGCCTAGGGCACAAAGAATCCAGGAAAAAAGAATGACAGTCACCTTCTTCTTAAAAGAATGATCAAGTCAATGGAACTGATCCAAGGAACTAGGAAAAGTACAATAAGCCAAACTCCTCCAGTGAATACTGAACCCATCTTTGTTTGTTTGTTATTCCTTTGTTTGCAATATTAATGTTAATTCAATAAATGCTTAAACAATAAATAGGTACTAATTTTTTCTTATACGTTTAAGAAAAACATGGTGCCTTTGAGATGGCACCTATTGATCATGTAACAAAGAACATTAGTTTGAGGGCTAACAGTTCATTTGGTCTATTACTTAAAAGGTAGAAAAAATATTAATATATTTCTTTCTTTCCACATTACCTGTAAACAACCTGTACATGAATTTGTAACTTATAACAACATTCATTATTCATTTGGGTAAGTTTTTAAAAAATAAAAATGTAAAATAGAAAAATAGCTGTATTGATGCTTACCCATGAAGGCATTTCATGAATGTCTGCAGTTCTATGATGAAAATTTAGCACAACAACTGTCAGAACTACTGATGAAGCCACCATGAACATTATGCAGTTGAAATATGTACCTGGAAGTACACCACAAATCTGTCAGCTCAACAGTTATAAATTGAAAATATTCAATCTGTCTTAAGGATAAGAAAAGAAACGTAATTTAATGTTTTTAATTTTTTGTTTGTAATAGCTATGTTGAATGTTTTTAATTTTTTTTTTTTTTTTTTGGTAATAGCTATGTTGAAAAAGAAAAATAAGTATACTTTATTTTAAACAGTACTGAAATCTAAAGTAAATCTAAATTTTTAAACTGTTAATTTTTTTTTTTAAATTGCATCAACAAAATTATGTAATAAAACAAATTAAAACAAAAAAGAGTCACTTTTTTAAAGTAAAAACAAATCATGTTATTAAGAGAATGTGTGAATTAAAAATAAGTTTCTAGCTACAACATTTATAATATATGCATGTGTATGCATATATAACATCAATAAATATATATATTACATACACACGCTACACAAATAATAAATGATTCATGCAGATAATAGTGCCGAGAGGGACATTAAATAGTATGTAAAGGAAAAATTGTCATGTCTTGTCTTGAATTGACAAATTCAACATATGAAAAGGTCATAACTGGTACAGTTCTTGCTTCAATTACAACATTAAATACATGAAATACTTTTTTTTCATTTTTTATTATTATTATTATTTTTTTTTGAACTGTGTATTCATGCTTTATGCTAAATACACTTTCTAAAACAAGGTACAATGTACACAATGTACAGTAAGGTAATAAGAAAGCTGGCAATAATGCAACACACACAACCATCAACACTTATGTAATATATCAGGCAATATAAATCTACTATCAAGTAAATATACATCGCAGCCTCCTCTATGAGTTGCTATTTCGCTGCTTTAATTTTAGTTAGGAAAAAATATTAATTTGTTTAATGGTTTATTTACATATTTTTATTAGTTATAAATATGTTCATGTGTATTTTTAGTTTGCTAGCTTAATACATTTGTGAAATGAAAAAAAAAGAAAGAAAGAAGGACATAAAGATTGTAAAATACTGTGCTGATAAAGTATCTAGCAAATATTAATAATGTAGTGTGAAATAGAATTTAGTGATAAAAAATAGCATATTATAAATAAGATAACAAAATTAAATAAAAATTAGGGTCCACATTAAGTCTTAAATAATTAAAATGTACTAAATTTCAGCAAATAGTCAGTTACATTGAATATAATAGGAACTCAGATAGTATAAAATTATTCAACTATAAATTAAATTTTTTTAACTTGGATGAAAATCATAATAAAGGCATTATTATATTATAACAAGCATATATACACACATGCATGCAATATGTTTTAATTGTAATTAAACTTTTAGTTTTTACTTTAATATTATTAATTTTTTACTAGCTTAAATATGAAATTAATTATTTTTATTATGGAGGTGATAAGTTTAATTGTTTACTGCAATTATTATTGATACCATTATATCCGCATTTTGTCTGACTACTCGAGTTTTAACGGTTAATAAATTAGAATATTTGTATATTTTATGCTCAAGAAATCAAAAAAACTTGAGAATGTTCAAGAGAACCTACAACAGAGCACACATATGCTAAAGACTCAATGGTCGGACTTGAAGACTAAAAATCCTAAGATAATCTTACGGTCATACGATGCTGTCAGATCCATGTTTACAAATGCAAGTTTCATATAGTAGCAAAAAAGAACAAAAAAACAGCAAAAGAACAACTACAGAACAATTTGTGACCTGTATAAGTCCAAAGAATTGTTTCAAGTTTTAGCCACCAACCACTTTTTTAATCATGGTTGCAAAGTTGCACATGTTCATCTATATTACAGTAAATTGGATATAACAAAAATTAGTCCATCTTCTGTACTGGTTATTATTTGTTTTCAATAACTATCGTGGTTTGTACTTTCAAATTATTACAATTAATACTACTTTAGGTCCAATAATTTTGACTATTCGAATTTCTAATGATTTTCCATCACTGTTAGGTGATGAAAAAAAATTGCATGTGTGTATGTATGTATAATTTATTGAATAACTTGGCTATTGGTCCTATTTATTGAGCCTTAAGGAGTAAGTGAGTTAAAGTCTAGTTTCATAATACAAAATAATTAATACCATTTGTTTAAGTTTAATTATATTGCAAGATCAGTTTATAGTTCAATTAATTAATATATTATTTTTCAATTTTTAAATAAGAGTTTTAGTTTTTGATTTTAGGTTACAGTATTTTTTAAATAGTTTAAAAAAGGCATTGTTTATTCTTGTAAATGTTTTTTTATTCCATGTATGGAAATTGAAGTAATTTAAAGAAAATGTTTCATCCCTTCCCTTCTTTGCATAATAAATATAAATATGTACATATAAAACATTAGTTTTTTATTTTAATTTAATATATTTTAGCACTTAATATTTTATAATTAACTTTTCTGTTTGTACAATTCTGCATATTCATCTTTGTTAACTCTGACTCAAATATTTTCTCGTTGCAAAATAATGTTTTATTTACATTATTTAAATTAATAAGAACTGTAACAGCATAACAATTGATTTTTTCTTAGAAGTATGTTTAACTATAATGACAATATTTCAGTAACCAAATATTTACATATTCAGTAAGATGTGGGGGTTTCTAATGATATTGCAGTTTCAGGGATGTATTAATGTGTTTCAAAAAAGAAAAAGAAGGAAATGGTTGAAACAGCTGGCAATTAAATAACAATGTTATATTTCTTGAACATTATTATATCAAATTAAATTTACTGATTAATTTTTAAACATATTACTGCATTCTGTTTAATATGAAATTTTTTATTCATATTACCGTAGTAGTAAATGGTGTGTGTATGTGTGTGGGTATTTATGACTATTATTATTATTTTTATTTACACAATGTAATGACATTTTAAATATGGCTTCAATGCATTCACTTTAAGAAGATTTTTAATGTTTTATTTGCTTTATTAGTTTAATTTTATTTTATATCTAATGCTTTTATAGCTCGTTGAATTTGTGGATTTTTTAAATTAAATTTTTTTTAGTTATATAGTTAGTTAATGTTTAGGTTTTATTTAATTACTTAATAACTCATTGTTTATTATATGTTTATTTTTATTTAATTTACCTTCAGTCTTACCGTGTTCACTTGATCCTGCATTTACTTAGAAGGCTCCTGCATCATAAGATTATTATTAGATTGCCAAAGGCAGTTAGTCATTTGTATTATTTATTTTGGTTTAGATTATTGGCAAAAAAACAAGTGAAAAATCAAATAAGAGGAGGTCAACGAGTTCACTGATAGAATGAAATAGCAAAAAAGAGATAGAGTAAGAGAGAAAAACAGCGTTCAAAAATAGTAAAACTCAAAACACATATTTTTATGTAACACATTTATAAAACACAATGGAGGCCAAATCGTTTGATACTTGGAGCTGGAGGGTTTTTTTCATTTTTGTTTTATGATTTTGTTTAATTAAATTGGTTTAAAAATTGTAATGGTAAAGTGTGAGAAGATAGACAAGAAGGTGCAAATTTACCTCACCTGCTTCCTCCTGGGGTTGAATACTCTGTTAAATTTTGTAGTAATAAAGTTAATTAATTATAAATTATTTGTATTATGCCCTTAGTTATGGAATATTAGTTTATAGTAGAAGGTTTCTGCTATTTTAATATTTTTATTTTTTTTATTTTACAGTATGAACTACTAGGATTTTTTTCGCCTAACTAGTTCATGTTTTAAAATTGGAAATTAAGTTTTCCAGTTTAGTCTATTGATATTTAAGACTATAAATTAGACATAATATAAATTACAATTGTACAAAGAAGAAAAAAACGAAGTATTGTGCACATATCAAGCTTTATGGTAAGGAGAGAGAAAAAAGCTATTTGGTTTGTATAATCAAAATATTTGCTGTGTCTAAAAATTTAGTAGGTTACTTACTGAGATATATCATTGGATAGATAATCTTAAGAAGCCCATGCTCATGCTGTCAACTGGAAAGTATTGATAGCATAGTTGAAGTTTGTAAAGCATAGCTGCATGAAGGCAATAGCAGCTGTGTATCACTTATGATAAATTTTTTATAAATTAAGAAAAGATTGTACATGTTTTAATTTTATTTTAGCTGGTTTTTATCATAATTTAAACTCTAGATTATTCCTCCTCTGTGGGTATTTTTTTATTAAACAAAACTATTTAGAGTCGGAATAATATCATGTTATTTAAGAATTAAAAAGCATGTAAAAACTTTAAATTTTCTAAAATGACATGTATTGTATATTTTTATTTTATATAATATATAGCAAGCAGTTTTTATTTCAGTAGACATACATCTCATGATTTTAAGTGGTTCATATTTAAATAATGTTTCAGTTATGATTTTGGATCAAATGATTATTAATGTAGAAAAATAATAGTAAGGCCTAAAACAATTAATTTTACACTACATTAGCAATTAATAGATAGTTGCTTATTAGAATAATAATTGTAAATATTTAATTAATGACAATTAGTTGACTGATTGTACATATTTATTACAGTTGAGTTATTTTACTTTTGAATCAAGAAATCCTATGAATCCATGGCCCAATACTTTTTAAATGAACAATCAAATAAAGGAAATCATATTCATAATATCATTTCTTTCAAAACTGTACAATAGTCAAAATTCAATGAATCCTTAATGCCACACTTTTGCTGTCTTTGTCTAGGCCACAGGTGTGTCTCTCAAACGCATACATTAGCAACTGAACCCCAATTATTTAGTGTTTATTAATTTTTCAAGATTTAAAGTTTAATAGTATTTAAATAATGTTAAATGGTGGTTGGGAATTACATAATTATTTACTAAACAAGATGGAAAGATAGTAAGATTATGGGTTTTGATCAAACTTCTTATGAATATCAACTATGAATCTGCCATTTTCCCCTAAAGTTAAAAGGAGTCAGCCTCTTCTCAACAGTGCACCATTCCGACACAACACCATTACCAATATTGAACTGTTTTGCAATCTCCATTATTATCTCGAGCTCTTTTTTTGATTGATTAAAAAAACTTTGTTAATGGCTCTCGCATCTTTGAGGCCTTGGCTTTTTCTCTCCCAGGAGCTTGAATCTCAACCTGCTAGTTCTTTTTATTCCAGGTAATATCTGCTTTAAACACAAGCCTCCAGAAGGTGCAGTGTCTAGTCAAGTCAGTAACATTCTAGGTTTAGTAGTTTTGCTGTTAGTTTCTGCAAAAGATCTTTATTGAATTTTTTCACATGCTTCTGTCCAGGTACACATTGAACCGAGGAATTGTTGTTATTGTTATACTTTCTTAGTACTTTTGTAGGTCTAGTGAGGACTAGTGTGGAGGTTCCCAGGCCCAGTGACGACTTTCCTCATTCAGCTTATATGCTCCCCAGCCTTGTGACGATTCATTTTGTTCTTGTGTTTTTTGCCATCTATTGGGCTGAGGTTATATACAATGCGTAGCAGGCAGCTCGGTAGTAAATTCCACACCCTTCCTTTCCCATTTTCATCATCAGCGAACCACTCTTTTCTACCTCTTTTGCTCACAATCTGGCCTCTCTCTCATACTTTTGTGAAATTGTGACACAATCATTTTTCTGTAAAACCATTCCACCACAATATCTTTGTCTCATTGAGAATGTCCAACTTCTACCACTTACTCTTCCCTACTATCTACCATATTGTCTTTCAGATTTTTATATTCTCGTTTTCACAGTGCCCTCAGTTTTAGTCTTACATCATTTACGTTCACAGAATATATGGTTGTTTTGGTTGTCATTATTTATACTTTTTCTTTCAACTCTCTACTCATCTTTTGAACAAATGTGTACAGAGTTGAGTTTAAAAAACCAGTTATCAGTATTTATTTTGTTGTTTAGTTATTATGCTTTAATATACGTAATAAATACTTTTTGTAAAAAATAAATTTTTAATTAAATACAACTTGAATGTACTGTCAAATTTTGAACAGTATTATTGCACCTCAAAAGGAGTAAGAGCGAGTTTTGATACAAAACAAATCAGGCTGGGGGTCACATAGTGGCTGAAAATGTAGGCAGGGGGACATGCTTTAACATCCTAAAATCATGTTGAACTTATTGGGTCAGTCCACTTGTGGTTTTTTGTTTGAGTTATTCAAACGCGTTTCGGCATTGTGCTATCTTCCATGAGAAACGCATCAGCTACTATCCTAAAATTAGTCCCAGAAAGGTTGACGTCTGATGGTTCTGCAACAAAAAGGTTCAGGGGCAATAAATATCCTCATAATACTTTCCTTCGCCTATTTATCAGTCTCCTTATTTTCCCTTTGTCCTGTGAGCCTTGTACCCAAACAAGGATAATTTTGTGTTGTCCTCAATGTTGACCCGGCCTTATCCCAAATGGCTGGACTTTACTATTGATGAGGTAGTCACTTTTAGGGCTACCTATTCTTTTGTTGTTAATACCCATCGAGATCTTCCTGGCATAATGTTCTTGATTCTTGGCTAAGCCTTATGTGAATTCTAGTCCTTGGTTTATTTCCATAGATACCAGACATCTCCTGACAGGAATTCATCATCAGAGGACCTCCTACAAATCACCACCACCAAGATCTAAGACCCAACGCTACCATGTTTCTCCGCTCTATGAAGACTGAAGATAAGCAATAAATCTGATTGCAAGCCCCTTAAATTGGAACAATTAATTAAACTTTTTTGTGAATGGGCCTCAGGAGCATCTGGTGGATGCGAAATTTGAACTGTCAAGTGCAAAAGGTTTGCTTAACAGATGAACTTAAAAGACTGCCTGCCTGACATTTATGTTGGTTATCTCACTAGAATAAAACCAATAGTTTTGCCAAAACTAACTATAAAACATCCTGTATGCGGCTGAGAGACCTTGGCATTGAGAGGTAAATATTTTATTAACATGTTTTTTGGTGAAATTTAACTTTTAAGCATTAACATAAAAAGGTTTATATCTCTTTAAAGTTCAATTGTTAACAACAGCAATAAGACAAGGGATGCTTCCTTTGGTCAATCTGTTAAAATATTTCAATAACAGGATCAAAATTAGAAAAGTAATACATGATCTCCTCTTGTGCTAGTTGAAAAGTGTGTATGTATTATATAATTTGAAAATTAGTGAAGAAGAAAGTTTAATTTTAAAAAATTACAAATTGAAAATTAAAGAAGTGAGCTTTTACATGCTTTTGATAGAAAAAAAAATCAGTTAGCATTTTTAAATATAATAACTTCATTTACTATATAACCATGACCATAATATTCTTAAAAAAACAATAACTGTTCTCAAATTAAATATTTGGTTTTAATGTAGTACAATTATTTTATAGTTACAACCCATCAAGTATTATGCTTGATATGTTTTTTATGTTTTCAAATTGAGTTGTGTAGTTTTTAGAAGTTCTATATATTTTGAATAGTAAGATATGTTGCAATAGCCAGCATATTTACTCATTATAATTGTGAAGGCTCTGTGCTTTTTTAAAAGAGTGGGGTTCTAACCTAAGACTGGTACAGCGTCTGAGGTTTGGGGTAACACCTGTGCAAGCCTGAGTAGAAAAACGGTTTGAGACAGAAGAATTGTCACACCTGGAACACAAATACTCTGGCTCACTTCCTACACCTCTTTATAGAAGCAATTTCACTCAAAACTGAACTGAAGCAGTTAAAATATATATTATTAAGTATAGAAGAGTACACTTGTTCTTGTTGATTGCTAGCAATCAAGGGCTATTTACTGTTTGACATTATGCTTTTGATAAATGTCTATTTTTTTAAGTTACAAGTAAATTTAGCCAAATGTGCTTGCATTGTGCAAACAATGGCAAAACCTAACATGTTAATTCAATTAATTATACTTTTTATCTAAAGTCTTGGTTGAAATAATTTAATTGGTTGAGGAAGTGAAATGATTAAATATGTCAATTATGACTGCTAAACATTTAAAGATTAATCGAACATGTTAATTTGAGCAAAATGCAATTATTGACCCAAACTATCTTTATATTCATCAATGCATCAAAATATTTAATAGGCAAATTTTTCAGTTACAAAACTCTTAGGGAATTCTCAAAGTTGACTCATTGACCTTTATACATTTAACCATTAACATGGCAATGTAACATATTTGTTATAAAATGTATTTTCTTTTTTTTTTTGCAAAATCACAACTCTTTTTATTTAAATTATGGCTGTTCCATCTTCTTCATGAGTACTTTCTTTATCGAATTACACCTAAGTTTTCACTACAACCATGCTGCATTCTTACATTTTTTTTTTGGTTGCTTACTTTATTGCAATCCTGATTAGACAAAAACAACATTTACTTTTTATTTTTTAGCTTATCCTTCAATTGTAATGGTCAAAATAATTTTTTATGTGTTTTTAATATAAAAATTAAAACATTATTGTTTTATGATCATTTTTAAATATGTACCACGGGTGATATGTTGCCATATCTGTTTTTTTAGGAGATTTTAGAAATTCGTATTTTTTTTATCCAATGCATTTTTAATCAAAAGTATCATTGATATTTGTCCAATAAGAATTATAATATTAATATTTATAATAATAAGAATTATGATTTATTTTAATCTAGCTGGCTTTGTCATAAAAAACAAGTTGAAGATGGCAAAATGAAACAGTCTGACAGTCCAACCAAGTGAAGATAGGTAGACAAAAATGATCTGTAATGACCAAATTGCTAAAAAGGAAATTATACTAAAAACTTTTAAGTGCTTCTGATAAAACAACAAATGTTTGAAACCAAAAATAAAAATGTGTGTTAGTATCACAATTACTACAATAAGGATTTTTCTTAAATTATACTCTTTAGAAGTTTCTGTAAAAATCAGTTTTGAGTTAAAAAAAATAATTTCATGATATAGGTTGATTGTTAGTTTTAACGTTTAACAATGAAATATCTGAAATCTTAATCATAAAAATTAAAAACTTCTGATGAATTCTAATGCACTGATTAAACGCCCAACCAATTGCATAAGAACCATAACTCCCCATATTTAATTTATGGTTTACCATCTCTAAAATAAAAGCCCAAAAACTTAAGAGGACTTTGGTAATTAAAAACTTGTCATACAGTATCGACTCGGTAAACGATTTGATCATAGTTTATTCTATGGATGTGAAGTAATTCTTTGTTTATTTATTTCAAGACACATGAAAACATCATATTGCAGTAAAAAAAAAAAAATAGTTTAATTTAATTTTACAATTAATAAACCTACCTTATTGTATACAAAAAACCCTATTTTACCCAACTAGAACTGTGTATTAAACAATCATTAATTATCAAGTAAGGAACAAAATAGTTTAAAATATGAAAGAAAACTAACTGAAAATAAATAATAATACGAAGAGCATTGGAGATCTCTCGAATGTTTCTTCCTTCTCCCTTGTTCATATTATATTACATTTTCACTAATTTGATACCTGTTTGTACACATATTTATACAATTTACCATATGAATACACATAATTGTTTTTTAAAAAGCAAGAAATCTGTTCTCTGCATTTCTTTAGTATATAGTATATAAATATATACTATATCTGCATTAATTACAACAGAAAATTTTGTAGATTTGGTTTACATAAATATATAAAAATATAAAATTGCATATGAAAAACTGACATTCTGCCATTTCTTGTGTCTGGTTTGAGGTTGAAAACAAAATAATAAAGTTTTTATTATTTTTTCAATTACTTAGTTCTTTAATTTTATTTAGAGATAGATCAGTATTATAAATTTATTTATACTTTTCCCAACTTTTGTTTTTGGTTTAGTTGACAGTGACTTTTTATATTTTGAGAATTCAGCCATTTGCTCACTATACTTGTGAAATAATGTCGTTTGTTCTTTGGAAGAATGGAATTTTTTTAAAATTTATAATAGCGGCAGATTGCTACAAGTAAATTTGTTGTTTTTATTGAATTTTAGTTTACAATAGTGGAGAAGTAACCCATTAGTTACACACCTATAAATAAACTTATCACTTTCCTTACTAGGGCGCTTTAGGTATTTTGGATGATTGTCAAAAAGGATTCAGGATAAAAAATGTTAGACTAGACCAGGAGATAATGATGAGGGTCCAGGGTTTTATGGAGGTAACTTATTGCCGTTTTTGAGGATAAATGGGATTTGAAAGTCGGAATCTGTCGAAGTCGAAAATCTGTGAGTGGAACCATAATTTACAAAAAGTGAATCTACATACTCACCCCACCTTCATCATTTCTATTGAAAGACGATGTAGATAGTAAGGTTTGATATGAAGTAGGGAGCTTGGGCAATAGTTTGAAAGATTTTGGATTGGAGTGACTGGATTCTTTGGAGGTTGTAATGCTTGGTTGAACCCCAGAGTTCAATTCTGTAGATCCAGATTGGCTGTAGTAGTGATGCTTGTTTTGTAGCAAAAGTTTCAATTTGTTTTCAATTAGGGTTTGGAGCAGTTTATATAGTTTGTACAATTCTATTCTTGAGTGTGGAAGTTCCAAGTAAGTCTTTTGTCAATGTAAAATTTAAAAAAAGAGGACAAAATTGGATGCTAGGAGACGAATAGAGCTGTAGTAGATTAGAGGAGAGGTTATTTGCTGAGATTCATTGAGCTTGATCCTTCTTTTTTCGAACAATTCTTTCAAAGGATGGTCTGAAGGTCACTATTTGGTCTAAGTTTGATGAAAGGATGGCTGTATAGTCAGTATATACGAGGAGTTTGTATCAAGATTGATAAGAAAGTCTGCAATGTATACTGAAAAGAGAGAGACTAAGGATGACCTGTAGAACACCCACTTGGGCATAGTTTACGGGGGAGAAGGATGTTCCAGTTCTTCAAAAGTACATTTTTGTAATTATTGTAGATTTCACGCAGTTGTTATTGTATATATATTTTTTCTTCCTAAATGGAGTTTTTTTATTAGGGTTTATTCTATGCATGTGCTTCTTGGAATAAACCCTAAGACTCCATTTAAAAGTACATATCAGACTGATAGGATTTTAGGATGAGTTAATATAAGTGAATGGAAGGATGTTCTTGAATTTTCAAAACAAGCTTGGGTGCTACATTTGAAGCTTGCATCAAGTCTAGGAATGCACCTAAGCAGCATTCCTTCCATGGTTGAACCTCGCAGAACAATTCCTTCTATCTCAATTGTTTCTACTAGTGAGGTTTAAATGAGGTATTTGTTTTGTAGTGAAATATTTGATCTGTTGTCAGCAGTCTTTTGAGTTGTTTACATCGTTGGTGAAGGGCGAAAGTTATTTGCTAGGATTTGGTGTTGTTGAGCCTCATCCTCCATTTCTTGAACCATTCTTCAAAAGATTATGGTCCCTGTTGTTTTGTGAAGGTCAGTATTGCAACAGGATTGATAGGATGTTTCCAGTGAATACTAAATAGAGAATTAAACCAAGGATGCTGCTTGTATGCTGCCTTGCAGAATACCCGGTTGGACACCCAGATGGAATTTTAAGACGAAGTAAATAAGTGAGTGGAAGAATGCCGTTGGGCCACATTCCCAACGTTCATTCCACTCAAGGGAAACATGTTTTGAGAGATTACAAATAAATGTCGTTAAACTAACCTAAATATGCTAATTGTCATCTCTTTGTGATTTACATTGTACTAACAATGTGCCTGCTTTTTCATTCTCGTTTCATAATGCAAAATGTGTACAATTATTAGTGTTGTATAATAATACTGTTTAATTGCTACTTTATAAAAACTATATATCATTATATTAATAATTAATAATTAATATATTAATAAGATTGTAATTATTTTATTGTTTTAACCTACAAGCTTAATTTTGTTTATGTGTTGTTATATATATTTTTTAATGATTATACCAACATCTGTAATTATGTAATACAAACCTATTATATTTCTTGTATGGTGGGTATATGCTGGAACCATTTTATTTAACTACCTAATGATTCTAATAAACTTACAAATCAAAGCAGATAAACTGCTAGCATTAAGCAATTACCTGAATTTTTTCAACTTAGTAACTGGATAGTTGAACAAAAAGGAAAGCAGTAGTCAAGTATTAAAAAATAATTGTTTAAATAAAATCAATAATGTAAGAGGAAATATTAATTAAAGTAATATATGTGACAACCACACTTCTCATTGCTGGCTTTGAAAGTTTATTTAAAATTATTCTCTGATCCAATCAGCAATTGAATTTCATTTCTAATATAGATGACTTCAAGTAGAAAGTTGTCATAAATAGAATTATTTAAGTTAAAAAAATAAATATAAATAAAAATGTATCATACTCTAGTATTTTCATTTAGACTACATCTATTATAAAAAAAACTTATTAAAGTATATGTGTGTATGCATGATTGATAAGATGCATTTCTAGTACAAAATCTGTAAAGTAGTTTAATATACACTGAATTTCTAAAAGCTAATAAAAATCTATTTAAAAGAATGGTAATGATCAAAAGCTTTCAGCATAATACTGTGAAATTAGCTGCAATATAATCAGAATATGAGATTGGATAGGTTTCAATGACACACACTACTATTAAAATAGGAGATGACACGATAATGGATTTTTGTTAAGAAAGGACTAAGCATCTGCGAATTTGACATATTCAATGGATTTTATAATTGTGTTATATGATTTTTTTTATTTTAAAAGGTTGAGATTGTCTATTAATTAAATTAAAGCCTAGCTTAACATGTCAAGATGCTTAATTCCTTCTAATTATTTGTTAATCAAAGTACATCATACAGCAAGCCAGGTTTTAAACAACACAGTAAGGGTATAGCAGGTAAAGCATTAATCCTCCACGAACCAAGTACCATAGGTGAACAATCAGCAGTCATCATCAACACACTGATACAGAAAAAACAGAGCCAAAATAAATAAAGTAATATTGTATAAATGTTTATAAGAAAGAATTATATAAATAGAATTATATGATGTGAATGAATGAAAAAATAGATACGAAAAAATAAGAAATATAAAGTGAATGAGAGATAGAGACAGAAGGGGCTCAACCTAGCAAGGGTATGGCATCGGACACTTGGGGAAGCGTTTCTGCCACTAAGTTGAGAAACACAGTCAACGACAGTAATATGGTGACGCCTGCAACAGAATCAATGTATGCTGTTAGTTACTGTTGTTATTATTTTATTTTTGTTTAGGATCCATAAAACAAGTGTAACTTTTAGGCAACCCAATTTTCTTAACACCAACCAATGAAGACATAAATTTTCAGCATTAAACAAAAGCATAGCATAATACACAATACACAATTGTATGAAAATGATTATAAACAAATTTGTGTTTTATATTTTAAGCACCAATTTTGGACAAATATATGTATAAAATGCAGTGTGCCCAAGATAAGATCAATTTAAAATGCTTAGTTAATGTGTTTTTTATAAATTGTATTTCTTTAGTCATGTATTTATAATTTATATGTTGAGTAACACTGTGATTATTTTTGTAATTAATAATACATAACTATAGTTATCACCTCTTTATATATATTTTATATGTACATGTGTTAACTTTTAAACCAAATGCATTATTATTTAATCACATGCAGAATATTACAACTTATTTAATTATAGTTATTTGATGTTTAAAAAAAAATAAATCACATGAAATTCACTTGTCTTATTTTCATAATTGAAAATAGATAAGGGAACCTTATTGCCTTATTAAGAGTACTTAATACTCAATTTGACAGTTTTCTTCACAATGTATATGCCATTGAACACAAGTTACAAACCTGATATAAGGATACGATAAAAATTACTCTCCCATTGACCGACTAAAGAGGGTTGGAAACAATTGCCAAATGAAGTTGGCATAAAATGTTTTCCTTTTAAGTGCCTGAACACAAAGTCTATTTGACAAAAAATGGCAAGTTACAACTGATTGTGCCAAATTATGTGTGTTGTCATTCCAAGTTCACTTTCAGTATTTCTTCATCTGCCATATAATAGGAATGAAATCATACTTTTTAGATGATATTTAGATTCTAAAATAAATTCATAGCATTTTTCAATGGTTCTATTTTATCCATTTTGTCTTTGAAGCAATGGATTTAGTAGTTAATTTATACATTAATGTTTACACGCTCTGAAAGGGGATTAATTATGGTGTGGGGAAAACTGGTAAATTTTAATATTTTAATTGTTTTTATTTTCACGAAGAGAAAACTGCAGCTCATATTGCTAGGAAAAAATGTAATGTATTTGGTAGATGATGCTTCATTAGAAAGCATTATTCTTAAGTAGTTTGCTTGATTCAGAGCATAAAGTTTAAGCGCTTTCATCATCCTTGAACAATTGTTGATGACAAAATTGAAGCTTTTGTCACAAATAACCCACACTCAATGGCACAAGGTATTGCAGAGATATTTAACATACCTCACACTAGCGTTTTAATCCATTTAATTGCAGCTGCTTGCAATGTACAGGTTCCTCACATGTTGACTGAAAATAATTTATTGGACCAGATCTCCATCTGTGATCCCCCCCCCATAACATAGTGTAAATGACCAATTTTTAAAAAGACTGATAGCTTGGGTTAACTCTATTAATAAGAAAAACTTTACTACACTTTAGGACTGCAGAACAATCATCGACAAGTTTATCGCTTAAAAACCAACAAAATGGTTCATGTATCGTTGATTAAATTTGTTTACAATCACCTGAAATTTTTATTGAATATACAATAAAAAAAAGCTATGAACTTATTTTACAACCTGATATTATTAAGCCCAATTTTACAAAGTTTTTGACAAACTTTGTAGCAATTTTTATTCTTGCATTTTAGGTTATTCCATATAAATAAATTTGTTCTGATGAAAACTCATTTTTTTTTCATGTTTCATTTACACATAAATTTAATATTCATGGACAACTTGTATTTTCAATTTTATCACTGCACAAGAAAAATGTCTCAACCAATGCAATAAAATAAATAGCTGAGTAAAAAAGCTATACTTTTCTTTATTAAATGTAACTATAATATTTAAATTTGGTAAACATGTTGTTTTTATTAAATATTTAGTTGTCAAGTAGTATTCCATTAATGCATTAATTAATGATGAAACTTCCCCAAGACAAATGTTATGACAAGTAAGCAGCTTCAGGTTAACCTCAGTACTAAAATAATGAAATGACATAAATAATGCTAAAATGAAATCACTTTTTGACTGAAATCATTTATTTAAGTTACCGAGTTAGTTAATTAAGGTGTTTTTACTATTTAAATTTAATAATGTGTATAAATTAAACAAAAACAATAAATTAAGAGCAGAATTTGTGTTAAAAACAACCGATTATACATATTGAATAATAATTTACTTGCTGTACTTTTTGTACTAAATTTAATTTCAAAACATAAAAAAAAAATCTTAGATTTAGTATCATTTTCTATTCTATTCATGACAATGCATGATTATTTACGAAGATTAACAAATGTGTTTTTACTTAAAAACGATGTAATTTTTTCCATCTAATTCAAACAAAGGATCAAACATTTTCAATTAGTTTTCTAAATATTAAAATTCATCGATTGGTCATGCTGGGGTAATTTCGTAATCCAGCTAACATTTTGTTCTTATGCATTGCAGAATTTGCAAAATTGAATTTGTCCTTTTCTATAAAATGACGCATAAGAAAGAAATGAACAGGGTGACAGGTGGCACAGTCATCTGTGGAATGTTGATGAACAATCAAGCCTCAAAGAGAGAAAAAAAAACATCAATGAATAAAACTATCACACCTTTTACTTTTATTTGATTTGCCTTACTTTCTTTCTCTTATTTTCGAATAGTTTATAGACATAGGAAATATTCAAGAAATATTCTATGGCCTGATTTCATCAGAACATTATTTCTCATAGTAAGTCATGAAAGTAGTGATGTAGACGTTTCAGAATTGTGGAATTTAGACAGTACAGTATAAATTTGGCGTTCCAACTTTTGCTACAGGAAGTTTCTTATCATCAGATTTCTTAGGTTAGTCAAATTGAATTTACATCAAAAGAGAAGATAAAAAGACAAATTCGTGAATAATTGCATGCAGTCTTACTAGATTAGTGAATACACTACAATTAATGAAATGCTGCATCCATTTTGAGAGAAATGCTCATGGATTCAGTATATACCTAGAAATGCTGCCTAATACTGAAACTGAAATTTCTTGATTACCAAAATAGAACTATACACAGGAATTCAACGTTCTCCTGGTTTATATCATCCTTCAACTTCACCTCTTGAGAATATTTTTGCTGGCCACTCTGATTAAAAATTCTAACGGGAATCCAACTACAGCCAATTGGTTATAATACCGAAAAAATATTGGCTTTTATTATTTGATTGTTGTAAAAATATTTTTTATATATTGTTAATTATGAAATTCATAGTTGATTTTTGTAAATGTTGTTATTATTATTTAATTAATTAAAATTATTTTTTTAATAAACAATCATTTGTTTAAAGGCACCATTAATATCCTATCAATTTTCTTAATAACAAACCTACAGAAATATAAACAATTTTTAAAACTTTGTACCCCATAGGACTGCTTGAAGGTTAAAAAATGATTTAAAAAAATCCATTTTATGTAGGGTCTGAAATTTGCTTTATTTACTTGTTTTAAAATATTTTAATCATAAACTCCTTTGTTTTGGAAAAATATAGATTATTATTTTCACTTGTAAAAGTAAATGTTTATGTGTGTGTTTTTTTCCTTCATGATGTAGTAAAAATAAATTACATTTTAGTTTTATGAGCTATACGGTCAACATTTCAGAACAAAATCTGATATGTTAAAAAGTTGATTAAGACTTGAAATATATCTCACAAAATTTCTAGTAGAATTGTCTTCCTAATTTCAAAGACTGTTACACCTATTATAAGTATGAGAAAAAATAAGTTTTAACAAAACAAAATATAAAATAAAGCCCAAAATAAACCAATATGTGGTACAACTCAAAATGATGAATAAAAACAAATTTAATGTTCGAAATAAAAACATTTAAAGACACATAAACTTGCAACAAACATGTATAGCTTTTGCAATTTGAATATTAACACATTTTCAAGTACTAGACAATGGAAAAAGGGAACACAGTGTGCAAATTATGGCTTTGGATTTCTAAATAAGGAAGCTGAGGTAATTACCAGCTAACACTTATAAACATATAGTTGCAAGCCAATTAAATTTTATCCAATAAGGCATATTTTCCTATATTATCAATGTTTTGTGTTATTATCGCAAAGAGATTTTTTTGGGCAGAATGGGACAAATTTTTTGTCAATCGTCAATTATAAGAACGATTAAAACAGAAACAACTATTGTCACACTCGGCATTGATCAAAATGTTTTATCAATAAATAAAAACAAAATTAAAAATTGTGTTTCATGGTGATGTTTCATGCAAAAATCAAAACCTATGATATGAATATCATTGTTGTGAGATGTGATATTGTGTTTATAAAACAGGATTTTTTTTCTAATTTGAAAAAAACTCTCACACAATTAATAAGGGCTCAAGAGAAAACTAATTATTGGATAAAAACAGATGATTCCCTTTGGCGCCAAGTATCAACATATTTTGCCCCCGAAGGTGCCTACCTATTAGAGGCACTGCATCCGATGTTGTTGGCATCGACTCTGCCACAAGATTCAAAAACACAGTCAGCGACAAAAGAATAGTCACACCTGAAAAATTCCCCATACTTCACTCAAATAGGGACCACTGTTTAGGTTTTTCTTTTTGACATAAAAGCATAATTAATCATCGTTATATTATTCAGATTTTGTTTTAATTTTTTTTCTTTTAATTGGGCATTTAAGTCATAAAAAATTATTAAATTTGTTGTGTTAATTTTAAATCAAAATAATATACCATAACAATATTTATTGTTTTTTTTGTCTTCAACATGAATAAAACCACATTTATTTGTAGAATATGTATGAAATATTATACCATGACACAAGAAAACTTGTAATGTATTCAAGAAGCTATAACATAAAATAATCCATAAGTTTGTTTATATAATATATTACAAGCTGTACTCTGAAATAAAAGGTCAATCAATTAAAAATAAAATATGTAAAATGTTGTTTTTGTTCTGATGACAAAGCAATACCTAATGTAAGTTTTTCCCCTGAATCTGGCGGAAGGGTGAAGCCCAGAAGGGCCATGGAAGAGATGAGAACACAGGGAACTATCAAGTTGAAGAAGTAGTACAGGGTTCTTCTTCGTATTTTAATTGTGAATGTAACATCAACATACGGCTCTGGGCAACATTGGTATGTAATAGTATTCTTCTTTCCTGGCATTCCTGCAAAACATTATCAAATTATTTGACAAGTTTTTATTGTTTATAAAATATTTACAAGAACAAATCAAACCATGAGTTTTTCTTACAGTAATCTACCATCTAGCTTATATCTTACATATGATTCATATCAGCCTTAATAATTAGAAATTTAATATAAATAAATCAGAGGTAAGGTGATTTGAAAGAAAGCTAAATTAACAACTAGTTACAAATAGGGTAAGTATATGTTGTTATATTTTAACCGTGCAAATCATCCAAAATAGTTTTAAAGCCCTTGTGAAGAGAAAATATTACTTGAAAATTTGATGAAAGAACTGAGTTTATCTTTCTTTCTAATTCGCCTTATCCTTTGTACAACTGAATTTTACATTTATGCGTGACAATAGACAACTCATTTTTATTTAACTGAACTGTGGGAAACTGCACAAAAAATTCTAAATAAAGGTGATCAATAATTTTTAAAGTCTACTGGACTTGCCATTAATAGAAATGATGAAGGTGGGGTGAATCTATTTAAATATGTCATTAATATTTTGTTCATCAAACAAGTTGTATATTGTTATAACATACAAATATATAAATATATTGGTATATATTGAAGAACTGAAAGGGAAAGATAATATAACAAACAACAAATCGTAGTTATTCTACATTCACTTTTTCTTTATTTTATAATATCAGAGCACATTATATAAATTATGCTAAAATAAATGCAAAATATATTTGTATGAAGTCATAAAAATGCCTGTATTCCCAGAACAAGTTTCAAAATTGAAGGGGACAATTTACACCAATAGTAAATAAAAATAGTCAAAGGAAAAAAGGGGGGGCAACAAATTATTCTAAATATAATTTTGGTTGGGGACCGCGGTAGCCGAGTGGTTAGCATGAGAGACTCTCACGCCGCGGTCGTGGGTTCGATTCCCACCGTCGCCTCTGGCCCTTTTTTCCCGATAACCCCCAATTTGAACACACAAAGAATTCGTACCATGGCTAATATGCAAGATCATAAGGCAAAAAAAAAAAATATATATATATTTTAAATTTCAAACAGTTTTTTATAATTGGAATTATAACTGCTTCTGTTTTAAAGCTAAAGTTATTTAAAAAAATGTTTTATTAAAATTAATTTAATAACTAAAAGTTTAAACAATATAACAAGTTCACCAATAACTTCAGGAGTACCTACACCTCAAATTGAAATAAAATGTCCTTTTTGTCCAAAGTCTTGAAATATCTCACTTTTCAGGTTACTTCAACCTTGCCCCACTGCCTTCAGACTCGTCTCCTCGACGAGTTCCCGCCAATCACTAATGAAGCACCAAGCAAGGGTATACGGCACTCGCAGCAACTGCTGCACCAGAGTCAACCGACTCACGACCTCGGACTGAAGCCAACGATTCTCTCGGTCACGGACCACTACCAACGGCACACACACACACTCAACAGTCCCGGCCTTATTCATCGTCTCAACACTACAAAACAACACCGGCCTTTCTCAGGGCCACCAAAAAACTCCCAGTCGCTAAAAACTGAACACTGCCAGAGAAACAAAAAGAGTAGGAACATATTCCATGAAGATTTTCTCTGACAGTCAAGCAACACTTAAGCTGGGGGCACACTAGGTCGGTGGGGCGGCGCGGGTTGGAATTGTGAAGGTCAACACACTATGTAGGAACCGCTCTCGGTCGCGTTGGTCGAATTTGCGGTTTAGTGTTGACTTTGCATTTGCAGGAGTCCCCACGTGACAATAATTGTATTCATAATAAATAGTAGTGACGAGGAAATTATTTTTCTGGTCGCGGTCGCAGGGTTGGAAGAAAGACAGAAACGAAAACGAAAAGCATGGGTACATGAAATAAACACCAAACGCCTTACGTTTGGAGAATATAACCATTATTTTTTGGAAATGATCTTGTTTACAAACTTATATTGAAACAATGCTACTACTATTCCAAAGCGCAGGGAAACAAAGCAACACGTTGGCTTCGTCTTTACAAATATGGCGTCTGAGGGCAGCCGAATATACCTGAACTCAACGATTTTCGACCGCCCCTGCGCACACTAGGCAAGTAGGTCGGCAAGGCGCGGCGCGAAGTCGGCATCCAGAAGTCTGGTAACTTCTCCAGCTCGTCTCCGCGCCGCTCCTTGTCGCCCTACCGTCCTAGTGTGCGCTCAGCTTTAGACACGAATGTGTGGTGATTGATCCCAGGCCCTGAAGATGATCTCAATAAAAATCGAAACGTTGGCACGATAAAGAAAATGTTTTTCTGAAACCTACATCACACCAGACCGCATCTCACGATTTCTAAATAAATTTAGACACGAATTTAAGATTTAGAAAAATGTTGAATGACTTTAGAAAAAATAATGCAGATGTATTAATCACGAGATTGGACAAGGGAAACAAGACGGTTCTCACACACAATAAAGAGTTTAAAGACAAAATGGAAATGCTATTGGGTGATAGAAACACTTACAGTTTATCTAGAAAAGATATCACGCCCCGTATTCAAAAGAAAAACAACATACCAGTAGCTAATTTAATAAAGTACGGGGTTGTTTCCCCTCAACAGGGATATCACTGAAAATGCCACAACGGGGTTGCGCCGAAAATTCATAAACCGAATGAATAACCCACTTAGGCCCATTATTAGCTGTATCGGCTCTCCCACCTACAAGCTATCAAAATTTCTGGTAATAACTCTGAACCATTTTAGGAAATTTAATTCCTATAACGTATCTAACTCTTTTGAATTGAGAAAATAATGAACTTTCAGTTACCTAATGATTATAAATTGGTATCTTTTGATATGAGAGCCTTATTTACTAATTTGTCCATTGAGTTAATACCAGAAACTGTCAACAATAAATGGCCATTAATCGAAGAACACACATGAATACCAAAAGATAGATGTCTTGAATTGCTAGAATTTTCCTGTTTTTCTGGTTACTTGCAATATAATGATGGCAAAACATACAAACAGATTTTCGGAGTGGCAATGGGCATTCTGTTGAATCCAGAGCTGTTTGATCTGGTTATGTCTGAATTATTAAAACGTGTGTTTGGCGAAACTTCATTTTGCTCCCCCCTTTTTTGTATTTATACGTTGACGACATTTTGTCGGTCCTTCCAATAGATAAAATTGATGAAGAACTGGAAATACTTAACAGTTACCATGAAAGACTAAAATTCACTTTCGAGGTGGAGGACAACGGTTGTATAGTTTTTGGATGTGAAAGTAACACATGACGTTAATGGAACACAGAAGCTTCCAGAAGTCTGGCAACTCCAGCTAGGCTCCTTGCCGCGCCGCGCTGCCCTACTGTAGATAATAGGACAATATGTGTTTTTTGTTACATTCGTTTCAATCCATTTTTCTTGAGGTCGGCTTCGCGCCGCGCCGCGCCGCCCTACCGACCTAGTGTGCGCTCAGTTTTATAGCTAAAAATTTGAGTTTTAAATTACGAACTGTTAAAAAAATTGGACATTAAGATTATGAAATATCTTCATTAAAATTAGTGAAAATAATACAAACAAAAAAGACACTGATACAAAATTGAATATAAGCAAAAACAAAAAGCTTTGAGCGGAAAGTATGTCAGGCAACGATGAAAGGCTTTAATTCATCAATAAGGTGGACGTTTTGAATATTTCATTTCATTTTTTGACCCTTGTGTTTCGTTTTGGATTTTTAACGCTTTTATCGGGTTGTCCGGAAAATAATGCAGGATTTTGGTATTAAACAAAAAAAAAGAAACTAGTTACTTTAAAGCAATGTTCTTTAATCAAAATAATTTCCCATACTCTCAATACATTTCTCCCAACGTGTTGGTAACTTATTAATTCCGTCTGAGTAGAATTCAGAATTTTTAGAATTGATAAAGTCAATAAATGCATTTTCCAGTTCCGTTTGATTTTTGAATATTATGTGTTGTAAGTAGTGGTCCAGGTGTCTAAAAAAATGGTAGTCAGTAGGCGAGAGGTCCGGAGAGTAGGGTGGGTGAGGCAAAGTTTCATAGCCAAGCTCCAATAATTTTTGTGACGTTACACGTGACACATGTGGTCGAGCGTTGTCATGCAACAAAATGGGCCCTTTCCGATTGACCAAAGAGGGCTTCATTACTGCCAATTTCTGATGCATGGTATTAATTTGGTTACAGTATGATTCAGCATTGATGGTTTCGCCAGGATTTAAGAAGCTGTAGTGTATTAAACCAAATGAAGCCCACCATACCGTAACCATTACCTTTTTTTGATGAGTTGGGGGCTTTGGAAAATGTATTGGAGCTTCTCCTTTGTCGAGCCACTGTCCAGAACGTCTAGTGTTATCGTAGAGAATCCACTTTTCGTCACATGTAACAATTCTGGCCAGAAATGGGTCATTTTTGTTTCGACAAAGAAGTGATGCACAAACATCAAAGCGCTGATTTTTTTGGCGATCGTTTAATGAGTGTGGAACCCAATTTTCGAGTTTTTTCACTTTTCCAATCGCCTTGAGGTGGTCAGCGACGGTCGTTTTACTGACTTTGAGTTGCTCTGCAAGTTCTCGAACAGTTGTTTTGGGGTTTTCTTCCACCACTGATCGCAGAACATCATCATTAAGAGAGGAAGGCCTTCCACGACCTTCTTCATCTTCAAGGCTGAAATCTCCCTCCCGAAATTTTTTAAACCACCTTTGCACAGTGCACTCATTAACACAACCCTCGCCCCAGACTTGGTTAATGTTTCTAGCCGTTTGGGCTCCGCTTCGGCCGAGTTTAAACTCGTAAAAGAAAATCGTACGAAATTCTCGCTTTGACATTATAAGGATGACTGAATTATTTCCAAGTAGCGGAATGCTACAGAGGTAAACAAACAATATCATTTGGAAGAGGATTAATAAGTGTTGACATTCATACAAATGAGTAATCCTGTAAACGTAAACAGAATATTTTATATAGATTTTTTTTAATGAAAACTTAAAATCCTGCATTATTTTCCGGACAACCCAATACCATTGGTGTTATCAAATTTTCAGTAGGATTAATGCTTTGTGAGATACGAGGGGCTTTATGTATTAAAGCTATGAAAGGTTGAAATAACCTGAAAAGTGAAATATCTGGAATACAAATGAGAATAAACTTTCAACAATAGGGACTTATAGTCAAATTCGTCTTGTAGGATAACCTGCTGAAGTATTGACGTCTTTCATGGGACACCCTGTAAAAACCAAATTAAGAATATTCTGTTATTACATTTAACGCTTTGTGCAGCATGTAGCAAATAAACGTTCTAATAAAAACATTAAGAAAAGACAACAAGAAATAAGAAACAGTCTACTTTTATTGGTACAAAGTGCACCAGAACGAAATTAATTGAAAATATATTACAGTGCCATCAGGCCAATTGTTTAGGCTCATGGTTTTTCACATTTCACTTTGTTCCGCACAAGATTAAATTACCTCCCAGTGTGAGATATCAGTTTATTTCCCCTTGAGAAGGCAACAAAAGAACTCTCCCTAATCAAGGAGTCGACAGAGGTAGACGGATTAAAAGGAAAACATACAGCGGACTGGTCAGTACAGGTTTATTAAATCGTCCATGTGTCACGCTGTCGTTCGTCCACTTAAAGCTGGGGGCACACTAGGTCGGTGGGGCGGCGCGGGTCGGAATTGTGAAGGTACGCACACTATGTAGGAACCGCTCTCGGCCGCATTGGTCGAATTTTCCCCCTCCATCTGACCAGTTGCGGTTTAGTGTTGACTTTGCATTTGCAGGAGTCCCCACGTGACAATAATTGTATTTATAATAAATAGTAGTGACGAGTAAATTATTTTTCTGGTCGCGGTCGCAGAGTTGGAAGAAAGACAGAAACGAAAACGAAAAGCATGGATACATGAAATAAACACCAAACGCCTTACGTTTGGAGAATATAACCATTATTTTTTGGAAATGGTCTTGTTTTCAAACTTATATTGAAACAATGCTACTACTATTCCAAAACGCAGGGTAAACAAAGCAACACGTTGGCTTCGTCTTTACAAATATGGCGTCTGAGGGCAGCCGAATATACCTGAACTCAACGATTTTCAACGCCCCGGCGCACACTAGGTCAGTAGGGCGGCAAGGCGCGGCGCGAAGTCGGCATCCAGAAGTCTGGTAACTTCTCCAGCTCGGCTCCGCGCCGGGCCGCGCCGCCCTTCCGGCCTAATGTGCGGGGTTACATTCGTTTCAATGCAGTTTTCTTGGGGTCGGTTTCGCGCCGCGCCGCCCTACCAGCCTAGCCTGTGCCCAGCTTTCTGTTTTCTGTTTTTCTTTTTTTACGAGGGTTCCCAACAGCAGAGGTTATATCAACCCTCGGGGTGCCGGCGTTTTTGAAAAAAAGCCCATTTGTAAGTATGTCGGGTTCGAATGCAGGGCCGCTGGATTCGAACCCGGGACCTTTACCTTACAGTGATGAGCGCCGTGTCAACGCCTAAACCGTTGCGGCCACCGACGCCCCCCTGTGCCCAGCTTTACAACTGGGCTTTTTTCAAAAACACTTACACCCCGAAGGTTCATAAACCTTGTAGTTGAAATGCCCTTATAAAAAAATAATAAAAACTATCACTCTTGGAAGTGATAAGCTGAATGTGACTTATGAGGATAACTAAATTAAATCGGGGTGGATTAGAAGAGATCACCACCTGTTCCATTCTACATTACAATTATAACGACACTACTAAGTTTAAATAATAAATTCGTTATGGTAGAAGTCATAGTTTTCACATATTCCTTTTTAACATGTGCCAGCAGGTTTTCCAAATTTTTTGAATAGATACAAAAACGTGATCAATGGTGACTATTCATATTTTCGCACAGATATCAAAACCGTCGTAAATTGTTTTTTCGACGTCAAGTTTCGTCGACGTCAGGTTTTTATTTAAGTGGGAACTCTGAATGTTTTATTTTTCTGAAACTACATTTTTTTTGGAAGGACAGAACCACAACTTTGGAACGCCTCCAAAATTAAAGGCTCTAAGATTTTTCGAAAATATTAAAAAATTAAGGAAATTTCATAATTAATTTTTATTAAACATGATGAAAAGTTAACAAGACAAAATAAAATTATCATGTTAATTGTTTAAATAATCGCTAGGTTCATTTTTGCACCAAGATAATTATTGACATTCAAGTAAGCAATTTCACTCATTATTATTATGAAAAATGGTCGCGTCTTACGTCCACCTACCGACGTCATGAGTAAATAAGAAAATGTAAATTTGCGTTTAAGAAGAAGAAGAAGAATACATTTATGATTAACAAAAGTAATTGTTTACAAAACAGTTAAAATAAATTTCAAGCATTACAAAAAGCCGACTGTGGGGACCGCGGTAGCTTGAGTGGTTAGCACGAGAGACTCTCACGCCGCGGTCGTGGGTTCGATTCCCACCGTCGCCTCTGGCCCTTTTTTCCCGATAACCCCCAATTTGAACAACATATATAAGAAATTCGTCATGGCTAATATGCAAAGATCATAAGGCAAAAAAAAAAAGCCGACTGCCGGAGTTTGCCATTCACTAGACCATAATTTAATTTAATTTACAATGGTTATGTTGAAAAGGATTTCCATTAAAAGTAAAAAAGAAATACATAAGTCTAAATAATCTAAAATATAAATCATATTCTTTTCGTTAATTTTCTGTATTACATATTTAACCTTTAATACGAAATAATATTAAAACGATTAATAAACTAATTTAATAACAGAGATACAAATTTAACAGTTAAACTGTCTTATTAGGTTGTACCTGTATTCCCAGGTCTTCTCGCAAAAGCAATTAATTGTTCACAGAGCCATGGGCTTGTCAAATCTCTGACAATTGTTCAATTGTTCTCAAACAGGGCAAATAATTGAGAAATAGCAATTCTCTTCTCAGCTTGAACAACCACCTCAATTGGAAAAGATTCAATCCAGAGTCACTTGAAGCCAAAGACACTAAATTCCACATTTGACTTTAAAATGAAAGAAGAATGTGTTCAGACCGCAAGACCAGACAAGACAAGATACCCCAGGAATCAAAACAGAAAACCACACGGTTTACCACCTTCATGGCTACCGCATTTAGCAATCGATGATCTGGAAGTCAAACAAAATTAAAATGTGGGCGTAATGTAGATAAGAAAATTGGTTCAACGGAGGTTAAAAATTAGCCAAATAAGTAGGGTATTTTTAAGTAGAGAAAATAATTTTCTTTTAAGAAATACATTTGAAACCTTTCCAAGACTTCATAGCGATTACATTCCCAAATGTGAGGCGCATAACAAATTGGATCGCCACACATTATTATAATCATGGTATTTTCATTGCAGACGCACGTCAGCCGTGTTGTGAGAAAAACACTGACCAGATTCTGTTCAGCCCCAGCTTGGCCCTGGGAACTTTTTCATTGAGGTGATGAATGAACAATAATCGAGGTATCATAGTGACTCCCATGTAATTGTATATTTGAAAAAAAAAAACACCGACTTTTTAGGTTCAGAGTTAGATGCCAGTTTTCACACTATTTTTCCAGTATATTTATATTCAACTGCAGAGCAACCGGGTTGTCGACTGTAAACCAACATCATTTGCATATAGCAGTGAGTTAATTTTGTTTCCGAACTCCTTCAATGATGGATGGAAAATCATTTAAGAACAAAGAAAAAAGTATGGGGCTTAAAAGGAAGCCTTGCCTTCCCCGAAACTCGCGTTTAATAAACCTTGAAATTTCCTTAATTGTTTAATATTTTCAAAAATCTTAGAACCGCCAATTGTGGAGGTGTTTCAAAGTTGTGGTACTCATTCTTATCAGAAAAAAATCTAGTTTCAGAAAAAACTAAAAATTTGTGGTGCCTACTTGAAATAAAAAAGTGACGCCGACGTCGGAAATATTTGACGTCGAAAAAAAATACGATTTTGGATTTTGCCTTAAAATATAAGGGGTTACCATTGGTCACTTTTTGTTTCTGTTCATAACAGGAAAAACCTGCTGTCGCATGATAAAAGAGTCACTGTATATTAACCATGTAAAAATTCTTCATAAGGTTGACGAAATTTTTTATTTGTAGTATTACAAAATAAAACAGCCATGAAACCTTCCACTATAATATTTCTCAAATGTGTTAAGTCAAGATGATCTAATTTTGGTCGATAAGATTAACAAACCAAGTGTCCCAGAGGAAATGAAAGACCGTATTACAACGAGAGAAAAAAACCTTACGAATTGTAGAATAACAATAACATTTAATACACAATAATTACAAAAAAATGGAAAAGTCAAATTTCTCACCTAGTAAAAACCACTCTCCGTTCGTTATGAAGTTGGAGAGATCTCCACCATCTTCTGATTTGAGTACTAAATCCAGCTAAAAATGTTTATAACAAGTGGCACGTTAGTGAAAATAAATTTGTTGCTATGGTGGTTTGATACCGATAAATCAAAAATAATCTATGAAAACTTTACAAAACTCCATATACAGGGTGTCCATTTTAGATGTCCGGCTGAATTTCTCTTGAACCAATGACGCTATCAAATACCAAAAAAAAGTTTAACATTTTTAGTCTAGTTTCAAATGTTTACCTTTTTTGGAGAAAAAACTATACAGGGTACCTGAGGCCCAGTTCAACTTCAAAATTTCAAACACGACCCTATACATGTTCACACATCATTTTAAAGGATTATTTCGCTGAAAACAATGGTGCAATCGGATTTTAAATTGGACGAAAAATGACAAAGGTATGGAAAAACGTGACCAATGACAAATTTAGGATAAATAGGGTCTTATTAGAAATTTTTAAGTTGAACTGGGCCTGAGTTACCCTGTATAATTTTTCTCCAAATAAAGGTAAAAATTTGAAACTAGACTTAAAACGTATCTTACAATTAATTAAGGTTTTCAGTTGAGATAAAAAAAGTCAATGGCACGAGCGGGATTCGAACCCACGATTTTCGGTTTGATACGCCGCTGCTCTACCAGATGAGCTATCGTGACCTCGATCCACTCGGTCACTAACTTCCCATCTCAACCACACCTTTCGAATTTTCCCTCCTTTTTGCCATATTTCAAATTCAAGGAGGGAAAATTCGAAAGGTGTGGTTGAGATGGGAAGTTAGTGTCCGAGTGGATCGAGGTCACGATAGCTCAAGTGGTAGAGCAGCGGCGAATCAAGCCGAAGATCGTGGGTTCGAATCCCGCTCGTGCCATTGACTTTTTTATCTCAACTGAAAACCTTAATTAATTGTAAGATGTTAATTGGTCAAGCGGACCACGAAACTAGTGAACTTAAAACGTATGTTTTGTTTTTGTGATAGCGTCGTTGGTTCAAGAAAAATTCAGCCGAGCCATGTAAAAGGGACCCTTTATATAAACATATTTTATAAATGAAGTATTATAATATAAACTCTCAAATTAATTGTATAAAAATACAAATAATAAAGAAAATCAGGCTAAGCACAACTAAATATCTAACAAATTATATATATGTAACAAATTATATGTTGTTAGGTCGCTAAATGCAATTATAATTTAAATAATTCAATCAACATAAAAAAACTAGATCGCTAAATGCAATTTAATTTAAATAATTCAATCAACACAAAGAAATAAATATTAACTACTGATACAAAAGAAATAATTTGCTCGAACGCCAACGAAAGCATGCAACTTTTACCTTAATTTAACCTGATAAATCAAAGAGACATAGACGTAAATTTTCCCCCTCTGATAATAACAGGGCACAAGAAAAGTAAAAAGAAAAAAGTAAAAAAAAAAAAAACTTTTGAAGTTCTGTGTGAACGAAAAAAAGACTAGTTTTCCATTTCTGAATGAAATAATTAAATCTTAATTAATGTAATGTAAAATTCACCATGCCAAGTTATTATCGAGCGGAACGTGGCTCCATGCAAAATAGAGAACATTACGAGTTCACCCCCAAACCAACCCCTCGATCACAATCAAAGCCCCTTCAATTAATGATTTCTACCTTCCCTCTTAAAAAAATATTTTGTTTAATTGATCTATATTATTTATCGGAGCATTACATTTATACATCTCAAAATATATAATAGAAGCATTTGGTTCTATAATTACAAAATTATATATTTTCTGATATTTATTGTGACATATTTTTAGCAATCCATAGCACAATAAACTCGTTTAATTGTTTTTCTTTGCGTTTAAATTTATGTATTTAACGTTAAAAAATACTTAACTTAGAAAGTTAGCATACCAACGACAAATATCAATTACAGAGCAGATAAAACAATACTCATTGAACACAACTCAACTTGTTTTCAAATAAATCTACTGCGAAGTAAATGTTATTAACTACAATCACTAGAATAGCACTACTTATACGGAAACTGTACTATTAAAAATAATATACTATTGCGAAAGAATATGGCCTTTTTAGCATCAGTACGTTTTACCCTATTATATTTATATAAATATACATTGGGTTTTTTTTTACATGGAATGTCCGTTTTTATTAATTTAAAAATTCATAGAAGAATAAGCGATTTCTATTGTTTATTATTGAAAGGTTTATAGATTAATAAAATCCTTTATTTTTTGTTTGTCTTGTACACCTCTCAATTTAATACACACTCTTTAGTACGATTCAAATATTGTATAACCATTTCCTGCTTTATTTTTTATGAGTTTAAAATTGGTTATATAAAGGAAAACGGAAAAGTCATACAGCTCGATTTATAAGTACATCATTAGCTCTCTGGGCTGCAGCAGTTGTAGTGCCATGAGACTTTTCAGCTTATTGGCAAAAAACCTAGCCTTTTCTCAAAATAATAACTTGCGAGGAAAAATGGATAGTTTATGAAAATCGGCCAAGTCGGTAATGAAATATCGAGGAAATACTAGAATATGACAAAACCAAATTTACACCCAAAAGACCCATTGTTGGAGTCATTCACTATTCCTTTTTGAATAGAACTAAGACTGGCCACTCGGCAGCCCAGGATGCAAGAAAAATATGATATACTAAACTGGAAAACCGGCCCCGTGAAAGACCTCGAGGAAGTCTTCAATCTTACTGTTAAAGAAAGTCCTTATTAAACTTTTATAGGACTCTCAGCACACTTGAATGCAAGTGCCGCTCACTTAGATTAAAGTTATAGAGCTTTAAAAAATTCAAAAATATCGATTTATTGATATGTACGTCTTGAAAGACCAGGGTATGCCCTAACCAAATCTGCAACCAAAAATATCGATCGGCTAGGGACATTCCATTTGAGACCATCATGTCTTCACCCTACTATATTGAAATTGACCAAATTTATCAAAAACTTAGCAAAAAGCAACCTGCATTAGTAAATCAGAAGTGTCCTGTACATGACAATGTCAGACTTAATGTTTCAAAGGAGACGAAGTTTTTCCGCACTCACATTATTCTCAAGACACATCTACAACAAATTTTATTATGTTTAATTATTTGGACAACTCCATTATAGGAGGAAATAATCGATAGGTCCTGGCTTTATTTCTTCTCAAAACTGAATTTTTTCTGGAATTATAAAATTGGTCACAATTTGGGAAAACCGTGTAGAAAAGAATATAATTGAAATGAATAAAATTATTTTGATTTCGTTTTTTTCTTGAGAAAACTTTACAGTAAAAGGACATTTCATGTGAAACAACCCGATTATGATTAATCAAAATTTAAATTCCTGTAATTTATAATTAAAGAAAGTTTCAATATAGATATACAGGGTGTATCAACTTCTATAGTCCACCAATTTAATTCGGAAACGATTAACATTAGCAAAAAATGGTCTTATAAAAACCGCAAGTTAATTTTTGTTAAGGTGGCTCCAGACATGTGGTATTCACAACGAATACGTATTTGCCATGTGCCGTGCGAGTCCTCAACTTACTAACAATCGTGATGGACAGAGTGAAACTGTCATTGCTGCAGCTGTGGTTACTGTTTTGTGCAGTGGCTACACACTAATTAAAAAAATATTTTATTTATAAAACAATTTATGATTCGTAAGAGAAGCTTTCCAAATTATTGGTTTTGTTTCGTAAACTTCTAGAACGTCCAATCAAAAAACTGTTGGTATTGTGTCAATTAATACATCTATACTAGTTAGCAATCGTTTATTAATGAAATATAAATAGCATTAAATAGAAGTATACGCTTACTGTAGATTTTGATAACAGTTGACAGCTGTTTAATGGTACGTATACAATTGATTCCCGAATGTGTGGATAGTTCGAGTGCGGTTACTTCACGAATATCCGTGCCCTTTGAACCGGACAAGTAAACCGACAATAAGCCGAGCACGGCGAACATCCTACCACATTAGTCGGGATTCGGTGAATACCGCATGTCCGGAGCCGCCTTTACAAAAACCCCCCTTCTCAAGCGTCTTCAGTCGAGTATGACTGAAATGGTCGATGCTATCAAAATTTTCAGTAAAACTGGCTAACATAAAAATGCTCTAGAATCCAATTGTACAATATAATTATGGGATTCCCCCTTTAAAATAAAAAAGTTTGTGTCATTTCCCAGCTAGATGAGAAGGTTATGTTAAATCTGTTACCACCACGCGATTCCTAGCCAAAATTAACTTGGGGTTTGTTTAAGACCATTTATTGCTAAAGTTAATTGTTTTCGAATTAAAATGGTGGACTATAAAAGTCGATACACACTGTATATATTTGTATTTTTAAAAGAAACTAAAACTTTGGTTTTCATTTTGTTTTTATTAATTTTTATGATTATTAACATAAAAATATATGTATTAATTTCTTAATAAGTTATTATTGATATCTTTCTTAGCTAATTAATTAGGTAAGTATACGTTTTCAAAACAATGGCTTCAATAGCTCTTGCCCTTGATATGCTGACTTTTAGAAATTGAAGTATTTTTATATATTTGACATGTTTAAATAAAAAGCCCACGGATATATACGAGCATGCTTTAATGACCATTCAAACTTAAGGCCTCTAATTACAGCCATTGCAGATTTTGATCCCCAACATGTACATTAAATGTGTAAACAAGAAACCCAAGTCCTAAGACAACGATTTCGAGTTACACGAGGATTCAAAAGAACTGTACATAATCTGAATTTAATTTATTTATATTATAATATTTTAGGCTAATTTGGTATCAATGCCGGGTAGTGCGGCATTGGAGGAGGACGCGTCAAAGAAAATCTCTCGGAAAACAGGAGGGGATACCAAAACCCTTAGTAAAAATCCGTCTTCCCGAGTTTACCCCGAAAAGACTTAATTAAGGCCCATTTCGAAGATATCTTCACACATCGGCCCCCAGTGCTATACCGGCCGGCATTAATTGAAATTCTTTAATCAAGTCTTCTGAATCCAATAATAAACTGGGCGAATTAAGTACCTGATTGCCGTCGTATGTCCAACTACCGAATTTCATCTCACAATGTTGGTCGTCAAAGGGGAACCATGTAATGTCTATCTTGCATGTGCTCTTGAATATACCAGGAGGGACGTAGAGGCAGCTACCGTTATTTTTGACCACCACGTTTGTGTGGTAAGTCCCGTCAAAACCCTCGTCGGCGCTAATGCAAAATACTATTTTGTAATACATTGCAATAGCCGTCAAACACTAATTTTTTATGTGTAACTTATGCTCATTCATTAGTAAGAGAGTAACATAAACGCTCATACCATAACTATTCAACTGGCCAATATTGTATTTATTTTTATAAAACTAAATTCATGTAGAAAAGGTATCTATTAAATAATACTGCATAAAACGAACTCAGAAGAATATTGGTCGAAAGATGTTTAAAGCAGTGACATAAAACATAGCATATAAAGGGTGCAAAATAAAAGAAAAAAGGACTTTGTTTTTCTAATGTTCATCCTTTATCAGAAAATCTTCAACAACCAATATAGACTTATGTCTTTCTAACTAAAAAACTCAATATCAATTTTGTTTCAAAATTTTGATCAATTATTGATTTGTCGAGTGAGTGAGACCCAAAAGAGTTATTGTTTGTGTCTGCAATTTGAAAAGTGGTTTATATTTTGTTTAATAATATATTTGATAGAATGCGACGGGGCTCGTCTGTTTTATTAACAGAAAAACCAGTTTTTAGTCATTGTCATTACTTCATGTAGAGTAATATCGGTCAGTTGAAAACAATAAAAAAGTTGGGTAATTTGCAAAAGTAATGTCAAATAAAATAATAAAAGAACAAAATAATCTTGTGCAACAATTGTATCAAAAATCTAACGAATATTTTTTTCTATACTTGCATTTCTTACCTTTGTAATACAGCGAACAATTTTATCCAAAATTATCTTACAAACAAAATTTTAATTTTAACAATTTTAAACTGTAAAAAATTAATTAATTTACGTTAATTTTTAAAATTATTTTATAATATAACAATTGACTGTCACATTACTTTTGCACCAACCCTTGAGATATTGGAGCAAAAAAGTGTTTAAAACAAACTGTTAACTATTTTACATTTTATAAAAGACTATTAATGAAAATTTTCAAATTAAATTTTAACGAAATGTTTTTAAAAAGATCATTTTTGTTTTGGAGATAATTTAGAACAGTTTACTTTTCTTGGGAACATACTTTGGAATGTAAGAAACGCGTCAATGAATGACAATAAGACGATAATAATATAATCCCAACGGATTTTTATAACATGATTCTTTAATTCGGGAAATATTAGCAATTGACAATTGATCATGATGCAGTCTAAAACTGATTTTCCTGATTTTGCCTTTTTAATCCAGGAAATACTATCAGGTAATATATTATAAAGCGTCTAGGGAGGGTTAATATTCCAATCGATGAGCACGAAAAGAGACAGTTTGACGTTGCCTTCGCTTATGTAAACGAAACTTCCAACGAAATGAACCATAATAGCGGTGAACTGCCTAAAACAGACGCCTCCACCTAAATTGAAAAACATGCAAAGGAAGGAACGAAAAAACAGTAACAAGGTCGTTTACCTTTACCCCCTCCATTTATTGAATTTCATTAATATTAATGTTTCTAATAAGAAAAACTCGTTTATGACTATACGTTTTTACATAAATAATCCGATTTTTGCAGCAAAACAACGGGGTGAAATTTAATATTTAGGAAATTTGCGTGTGTTGAAATTAACTAAATTTAAAGCTGAGCTGCGTTACATCCACAAAAAAAAACTTTTGAATACATTTTCTAATCTTAAATCTAACAGCATGCTCCCAAATTTTGGATTTTTGATTTGTCTCAATTTAAACTAAATTCTACAGAGGAATTTCTCAATCATATTCGGGACAGTTGAAAGGGTCATGTTATTGTGTTCATAAAAAGTCCTTTTAGGTTGCTTGGTATGTGTGTAGGAAATGTGAGGGTTTTTTTTTTTCTCGAGAGAGACTTTTCATGAGAAAAATACACGGCGGCAGCTACTTTGTGACCGGTAGCCCTTTTTTTTGAGAAGCAAGACGATTTCAAGGCCTCTTTCACATGAGAATGCACTGTCACTATTTGTGTTAATAAAGTGAATATGGTTTATAAAGGCGTAACAGTAACATAAAGAAAAAACGGATGATAACCTCAAAATTAAACAAAAACATTACATATAAATTGTAAGTGTAGGACACATTGGTTTTCTGGACATTAACAAAACCAGTAACATCATGCATCACCTTGATTTAAAATAACCGGTTTTCCACTTACTTGTGTTTTATAACAATTTTCTGTTTTATTTATCGAACAATTTCTTCTGACCAATCAAAAACGAACAAAAAGTAACATTTCAATGTAATCGTAAATAATATACCCCTGCTGTTGTATATAAAGAGAAATATTTGGATCCTCGTGCTCTGAAAAAGTGTTTTATTCACCTACAGTTTGAAATCAATGTGGAAGGTGCTCATAAGAAGATATGTTAAAAAAAAGCCCTATGATGTATATTTTATTCTAGCATTTAGACGTGAATGTTATATAGTGTATTAATACAATTATATACTTATAGGTTTTTTTATATTTAATAAAAAATATTTAATAACTAATTACTGTGTTTTATGAATATCGTGGATCATAGGTTTGAATGGATAATATGATCCTTAATTATTAGGTCATGTGCAATGTCTGCTTTAATTTATACATTAAGGCAATGGATAGTCATGCATATGTTAAGCAATAAAGGAAACGGGTAAGCATAAATTTAGTTTTTTTTAAATTTCAAAGTTTCCTCTTATTTGGGTTTTATAAGTTAAAATAAAGAGTATAACATTGTTAAAATTTGAGTTCTTTTCAAGTTTATTTGGGACGTGATTCTGTTTATATATATTTAAACCTATCACATTATTGCTTTTTTTATAAAAGTATCCTATATAATCAGACAGGAGGTAAACATAAAATATGTTCCATCATGGCAATAACAAATATTTAACGTCAAACCACGAAAGAGGGGTCCTATATTCTTCAATATTTGCTCACGATGATTTTTGTTATTAGTTTATTTACGACTGTATAATATTAAAAAAAGATTGAAAAATAAATAATTAACTTAGTTTACAGGATGTCGATAAAACAGAAGTATCCACGTTAACTTTTTAGAAATCCAATTGGGGGGGGGGGAGGATAATTTAAATAGGTATGTTATATATTTTTGAAGTTTCTTTTAAAACAAATTGATGAAGATACTTTTGACGGAAACATGGATCAGGCTTGATTTCTACTTATCTAACCAATGAGGTAAATTAAAAAATAATGCTAAAAATATATACGCAGGGTATCGATTTACTTGTGTTACCCCTGGTTTTTTGAAAAACTACTCAACCTAGACTTTTTTTTTCAAAACTTTTAAACGTAGAAATAGTTACAATTTTTTTCACTTATGAATTTACATTTTTCTGTGGAGATTCATCAAATCTCTTAAATTTTTTATCAAAATTGGTAAAAACATTTAAAAATTGAACTAGAAAAACGAGAGTTGTGGCTAAAGCATTGTTTTTAGGTAAAAAATTAACCTTTATTTGGCTTTTCTATCGCGGAGGAAATATTATTGTAGGAGATATTTCTTCTGAACTAGATCTTGTAACTATTCTGCGAAGGAAAAATGATGCTTTCTAAAATGAATGTTACAGTAATTGTAAATTAATTAATCTTTATGCACGGTATTGGTTGAGATAACAAATAATAAGTAAAGAAAAACTATAAAAAAGCATCGAGATGAAAATTATGATGAGGGAAAATAAATAATAAACGTATATAATAAATAAAAATGATTGTTATGACTATTTCTTTTGTTTATTAACATCTTATGGAAAGATCTGTACTACTTTGCTCATAATATCATTTCATACTATTTAGCAGTCATAGTAGCTTCGACTAATTAAATTTATAGTGAATTTAATTAAAAAATCTATATAAAAATTAAATTAATGGTATAAAACTACAAATAATTATTTATCAATAGGACGTGTTGTTATTTGTATGAATTATATAAGTTTTCATGAGATTCCTTTTTTACCACACGGCTTTCAGCACTCTGCAAAGTATATGTGTAGTGTTGATTTTTAAATGTTTTTCTAACCATATGTGTTTGAAAAAAAATTGCTTTCCCAAGAGATTCGTATAATCAAAAGCAAATCAATATCGATGGTGATTTTTTTATTCCTACCGTTTTATTATAGAATTTAGTGTTTTTGAAAAAATTATATGATGATTTTATAAGGCGTTTAGTGGTAAGAAAGTATTGTCAAGTTTAAAAAAGAAATGTTACCTAAAAATGCTTATGTAAATTTACATGCTAATTCAATGCTTAGTATTAATTAAATAGGTTGTTAGACATGCTTATTATTATTACACTATGAAAACTTTTGCTCCTAATTTCTCTCTTTATATTTTTTGTAATCAGCAAGCTTTTAAAGGTAACTACTGCTATTTAAAGGTGAAACAAAATTATTTCATTGAGAAACTGTTTTACTGTCCGTTATACTCCTCAATATTTCTCTTTATGTACATGTTCATCCTTGAAGGAAGTATTTTCTGGAGTTTCCTTCCTGTTGTGACATTAAGTTTTACCTGTTGTACATAAGGACGTCTGGGCGCCAGATTTTGTTGGGAGTAATCCGGAGATCTTTGACCCCTCCGTACTCCGATTCATTCCACCGGAGGTTATAATCATTCCACTCCTTGAAAAATAAGAAAAATAACAAGTTTAATAATTAAAATTGGCGGCCAGTTGTCATTGACTGGTTCCTTTTGTAATGTTTCCCAGTTACTTTCATCCACATCCGATGTCACATTGCCAAAATTTAGATGAAGTTTTTATATGTTCAACTATTATCTTATATAGGCAGTTCCTAAGAATGAAATTATATGACAAATTGATATTCGGAAGTATTTTTTATTAAGTTTCATTACTATTACTATGTACCTTTATTTTAGTCTAAGGGTGGTAAGGAGATGAAAGATGTAGTTACAAAAAAAATCCTACGAGAAAAATGAAACCACTGAAGTAAACAAATTAAAATTCACGACTATAAAAAAATGAAGAGGTAGAGTAATTATCAACAAGTCAATAAATAAGGAAGGGTGGGAGAAAATACAACGAACTAACTTATAAAATATCATTTTGCCCCTTTCCCTTTGCCGAATGGATTGATGATTTAAATAAATTGTCAAAAATTAATAACGGAACGTACATAAATAAAAAATGGCTTGAGGATAAAATATAACGTTGATTGAACTTCAGCACTGCACTTCAATAAAATAAATTAAAAAAGGGGTAAATAATTGTACAAATCTAATAAAAAATTTTCTCTTCTCCTTTATATTTCAATATCATATTTATCGTCAAATTAAGGCCAATTTCATGTTAAGTATTTATAATAAACATTCGTCGGTAGGAAAAATGAGAAATGTTTATAGACAATTTGTTATATGTAACGAATGATGGGTGTATAGACTGAGGGTGATTAAATTTCATCCCCCTCGGCCGTCAATATTTCGAGGGGATTTATTGATGAATTAAAATTTGTCATAAACGATTTTATTAATTCGTCCACCGTGTTTTATAACATGTATTCTAGAATTTACTGGAATTTAACTTAACAATGTAATGTAAAAAGTGTTACACCTGTCATGCAATTTAATAATATTAATATTAATTAATAAAGATTTAGTAGAAATGAGGGTCATTGAATTAAAAAAATGAATCTGTTAAAATTAAGCTCCCTCTAGTTGCATGATGAAAATAATTTAATCGTTGAAAAGTCTCCCAGTTAAATAAAATTGATAGATAAAAATCAAAATCAAGTTGCTTAATAAGTTGGACAAGGATAATAGAAACTTGGCCTTAAAAAAGAGGCGGAAATAGGATAATCGATTTTTTATGAAATTTATTTTGGACATACTAGACTGACTAATATTAGCTAATACAAGGCTTTCTTGCCAGTGGGACCTAGGAACCGAAAAACAAACATATTTGTAGTAATAAGTACATTCTTTACTGTAGTTTTCTCCCTTTTCTGTGCATGTATTTCGTAAGATAAGAAAATATTAAATAGGAGCGTATTAAATGAAATTAGGTATAAATAAAGGTGCCACAATCAAAAGACGCTACTAGCAAAATTTGTCAAAAAAGTAATTTAAAAAACTTGGATCCTTTTTGAGCTTTATATAAAGCACCCCTAAAAAACGATTTCAGTATAAATAAAAAGTAAACATTTTTGATCTGGATTTAGTCCGGAGCATTTCTTTTTCTCTGATGTCCGGCATTTCGAACTTAAAAATTCATAACGCCTCTGGATTTCATCCAAATTTAATGTTTATGATGGTGATGAGTATGCTATGAAGCGGGGTTTGTGCTCCAGGCACAGCAGCTTTCTGGCTTATTGTACCTTCCTAGTTCCTTAGTTCAGTGCAAAGGACTCAGTTCTTCTTCTCAGAAGTATTAGGTCATTGACTGTTATTGCTACAATTTCGTTCTAGTGTTTCATTACTAAAGAGGGCGACTGCGGGACGACCGAACGATCTTACTATAATCGCTTACTTTTCTCTAAGCGATAAGAGTGTAGTCGGCGTAAGAGCTTCGTTACTTATTCTTGTGTACGGGAAGGTGAGGTTCTACAATTCGACAAATCATAGGGTATATTCATCTACATTTATTTTAACACACTTCCGTTTTTTTCATGTACACAACTCAAACAAAAACTTAATTAATCAAGTCAGCCACAACTCTAAATCTGGGATGAATGTACTAACAAAGGGACTTACTTCAACGATGCTCGCCACGATTAGCATCCTCAGTGCCTCTTCGGTATCTCGACTGTCGACTTGACCCGATGAGTCGCAACGGCTGATCCTCGCTGGCGGAGTCCCCTTGTTGGGTCCCAGACGGAGTGTGGCTGCTTCTCTCCCGGATCGACTCCTGGAGTGCCTTTGATTCACAGGTTTGAGCCCTTAGTCTAGTCTGACTTTTGATTTCCAAATCATCCATTTTTATACCAGTTTCTCCATCGGATTAACGGCAGAAAAGTAAATCAAAAGTGGGGGGAGTTCCCACACCGAAGGTGACGCAACCCCAATTTACGATGTCCCACGTCGCTACATATTTTTGGCCTTGTGACAACCCTTCAACATTAATTAACTAGGTATTTATTTGATCGGTTGTCCAACTATTGCAACTTTGTTTTCCAGGTTCGTCCAGGGTCTGCGACACCTTTCGACGTTCTTATTTATTTGACAAATGTAATTATTGCAGGGCTAGGTTTCCCTTGTTTGTGAGGAACGTCATCATTACATAATCTGCAAATGGGATCATCGTTATATATGGCCATGTTATGTCGATCGTTTTCTCAGATGCCATTGACCGCGCTTAATAGTCCTATCACACCTCTGACTCTGGCCTTCTTCATCTGTAGCAATGAGTTTGCCAGTCTTGGTGAGGGTTGTTTTAGCTAGTGCCCCTAGAGTTTATCCAATTCTCCTCTTGTGTTATTTGGATCCATGCTTTGATGGAGGATTCTGTTTTTCTTTTTGTTATCCCAAGTATAGATTCGGGGCCTATGTATCGTCTTGCAGATTTATCTGGCCTCTGGCCAGTTTATCTGCTTTTTGTTACTCAAATTTCCTTTGTGTCCTGGCACCCAAGATGTCAGGTTATTTCTTTTCCCTGGTTTTGGAGATTTTGGATGCATTCATTGCCTAATTTATGTTTTACACACTAAGTTTTAACAGCTGCTTGGCAATTCGATCTTATGAATTTTTTTTTGCCAGTAACCTCTTTTAAGATTTTCTCTGAGACGCCTCTGAGAAACGCCAACTGTCTTTGCGATATCCACTTAACAGTGCAATCGATGTCTCATTCTCACAATAATATTCAATTCAAGGTGATGTCTTGCCATGGTTAATGATAATGCAACTGGTTTAACATGGAAAAAAATACGAGAAGAGGTGTTTGTTTACAAAATGAGTAATCCTCATGTTTACTCTTCCGTTAGCAAATCCGTTAGTAAAAATGAGCATTAACAAATTTTTGTTTTTGTTTTGTATTTTCTATTTTGCTTTATCCATCTAACAAGAATGTATTGGTTAATTTAATTAATAATAAATTACAAATATATTCATTTTGCGAAGTTTATAATAACCCTAAAAACATGCACAACAAAGCCAGAAAACTATATTGAAATGTTCGTAAAATATTTTTTATTTGACAGTTCCTAGGGCAAGAACGCTTGGTCACTAATATGTTTTGACCTAATATCTCAAAAAAATTTCATTAGAAAATGTAAGAAAATTTATTAAATAAAATATACAGTTTTATAGAAATTCTAAACAAATGGGCCGATACCCTTTTAAAATTGGTTCGAAAATTTTTTTTTTTGTTTTTAAATAAAATAATTAGTTTTTGCTTTATGTTGTGGGACTATGTACACACCTTCCCTGGAGTCCCATCAATGGGTATTTCTCAAGAATATTTATTTCCATTAAATATTAATTAAANTTAAAATTAAATTAAATTTAATATTTATTTCCATTCTACCCTTTGCGGTACAGGCTAATGCAAATAAATTGAATAAATCTCTTTTCTCTCACTCCTTTTTTTCCTCTTTAGAAATGAGTTTGTTTGTTGTCTTCAAAACAAAAATAACAGACTATTTGGTGTTTAAAAATATACAAATTTGAGTAATATGTAATAAAAAAAAAATAGTAGTATTTGAAAACATTATGTCATTAACCTTAAACATTACTCATTAGCCTTTGTGGACTTTTTTGAAAAACAATCCTATTGAATATGTTTCAGCGGACTGAACGTAATTGGAAAACATTGTATTGCATATTATTTATGAAAATAAATGATTCTACCATTCATTAAACATAAAAGGAACCATCTGTTTATAAAAGACAGCTTTAAACATATATCAATTGTTTTTATAATATAAATTCTAAAGTATGCTTTACAATTTCTAATAAAACTAAGTAGGCATGCTTTCACAAATTCATTTACCGTTTCCAATCGTTATAAAAATAAAGATTAAAACAAATAAACTATAGCTATTTCTACAATCTTTTCAACACTACTTGGCTTAAAACTGTATTTGTTAAAAATAAACCCATACATTATAAATCATGCAGATACCTACTTGCTTTTATAACGAAGCGCAGACAGTAAGCATGCGTAGAATACGTCAAAATCCAACAATACTAGTTACGTGATTTTTTTGGCCGTCGATTCATATTGGTCTATTATTGTAATGGTTCATCCAAAAAAACTAAATCTGTGCCAATTTCCCTTAATTGATGATATTTAAATCACACACGGCAGTTTTTTCCATTTTTTATTCATATTGTCCAATAATGTGTTGTATTTGAAAAATATTAAATATTTTGATGATGGGAAAAAGTCCGACGAGACATGCCTTTGTAAGTAAAGCCGGTTTACGTTTTTATTTTCAATACTTTTTATTTTCAAATTAATCTTTGTTAACTTTAAATTAACCTTTATTTAAATCATTAAAAACTCAGGCGTTGGTATGAAATATTAGCATATAAAGTGAAATTACGGTAAATTTGCTTTTAAGTTATATAAAATTACGTATAAAAACAAATAGTCCTTCTAATAATTCGAGCTTTGTTAAAATGTAAGATAATTGTTCTATGAAATAATTAGTTTCTATTTAAGAACATCTTGAATTAAAGTAATAGTCTAGTATTATATTTAATTTAAGTTTATTAATTTCGTGGTCCGCTTGACCAATTAATTGTAATTTAATTTAAGCTTCATTTCGTCAAATTAACCCTTGTTAATCTCAAATTGACTATCAAAACTCCGGCGATGGAATGAAATATAAGCATGTAAAATAAAATTCCCGTACATTTGCTTATAAATTATATAAAATTTAATGTAAAACAAATGGTTTTTCTAATAATTCAAGATTTTTTTATACATAAAACAATTGTTCTATAAAACAATTGCTTTATATTTAAAAAAGCTCGAATTTATAGAAGAATTATAGACGCTTTTATATTTAATTTTATATAGCGGTTAATTTTAATTTTGATGAGGTATTTTAGTTAGGAACCAATTTTTTAAATTCACAAATTAAAAGAAAAATCCAGTTTTTATATTTCTGAATTTGAATTATTTAATTTGAATTGTAATTAATTTTCATGTGGTATTCTTTCTAAGAACCCATTTTATATTTAAAAATTCTCATATTAAAACTAGAACCGTTTATTTTTATATTTAATTTTATCTAATATTGATTTAGATTGTAATTAATTTTCATATCGATGTCTAAGTCCCATTTATTTTATATTTTAAAAAAATCTTAAAAGAGGAATTTTACTTTCCATGCTTATATATCATACTAACTCCTAAGTTTTCATAATGCTTTAAAGAAGCAATTTGAAATGAAAAAATGTAAATTTGAAATTAATAAATAGTTAATTTGATGGATAAAGCTATATATAAGAGCCCAATATTTATGTTTAAAAAATCTCGAATTAATGCTATAAGATGTTTAGTTTTATAATTTAGTTGTATATAATTTTTAATTTTATACAACTAAATTTTTAATTTTAATTAATATTTTAGGTTTTTATCGTCTTAAAGAAATCAAAAAGGGCTAATTGGAAATTAATAAATGTTAATTTGACGTTAAAACGGGTTAATTTGCAATTATTAAGAATTAACTTGAAGTTAAAAAGAATTAATTTAAAATTAAAAAAGGGTCAATTTGAAGTTAATATGATTTAATTTGAAGTTAAAAGGGTTAATTTGAGATTAAAAAGGTTGAATGAATGTTAAAAAGAAAGCGTTAATTTGAAATAAAATAATAATAATAAAAAAGTTGAAAAGGGTTAATTTAAAATTAGCAAAGGTTAATTTGAAGTTAAAAAGGGTTGACTTGACGTAAAAAATTGTAAATTAGATAAATTCGTCCTAATATTTAAAAATTGTGCTTATATATAATCTTTCGACAGATCATTCAAGATGTGCAGATAAGCCGAAGTTATACATAAATGATTCCAATTTCAAAATTGGGAAAGTTACAAATTGAGACGAATACAATCTGCTAGGTCTTAACAAACTGTTTATTCAATAACAAATTTATGCATGTTAAAACAATAATTCTTATTTGACTTTTTGGTCTATTTTAATCATGTTACTGTTGCTACACATTAGTGTACTAATCCTGAATTTACAAACGCCAAACTTACTCGCGTTTAAATTTCTATTGCAAAAATCATAGTCCGGCTGAATTTTTGGTGTTCTGAGCCACCGTAAATGTTCAACAATACCCATGAATTTTTTTGTAAATTTTCAAACTGCCACAAAAAAAGGAGCTATTTCCGAAGGGATCGAGTTAAATACTCGTACTTGGTGGAAGAACACGCTTGGATCGAGGCAGGCAAAACGACACAGCCAAAATGTCTCGCCTAAACTAAGAACTAGCGAGGTTCGGTCAAATATAAGTTCTCGAAAGTTAATATACAATTCAGTAAGTAAGAAAATTTCATTTTGACACAACTTTATAGTTACAATTTTTTTCGCATTCAAACTATTTTACTACCCAAAAAATAAGAAGTACACAAAAGCTCGCTACTTGATATCATCATTTATTTTTAAACCAACATAACTCGGTAACAAACCATCCTCATCACCTGGGAGTCTATTACCTTAAATGCAAAATTTATTAAACCTCTGCCTCAAAAAGAAATTGGAACGAACAAAGAAATTTTTATTTTTATGAAATAAAAAAATTATAGCCTAGTAAGGTAATATCTTGCACAACTTTTATGTACAATTTTTGATCAAATTCAAAAATGTAAAAGTACCAGCCAATAGATATAAATCTGGGTGGACGTGCTTCACGCCTATGTAATGTATTGCTTACTAAAAATAAAATTTAAATTATGTGAGAATTTTGGAGGTCGTCGCAAACATTTTTTTTCAGCGTCATTTTTTAGAGAAAATATTGAGGTCATCCAGACATCGTAAAACAAAACATTTGGTTTAAATGTTGTTCACTTTGACAACTAGTCATGAAAATCGAAAGTTGCGTTAATTATTTTGAGTTTTAAAAGTAAAATATTCAGCTAGTATCATCTAAAAGAAAGCAACACCTTACCTCACAATTACAAAATTGAATGAGCCGTTATCTTCCCTTTCCCTGCTAATAACCTCATATCACACCTTGGGTATCATGAAGACAATGGAATAAAATAATAAATTTAATCTTTAAAATATTTTATGATATGGAAACATATTTTAGTACCGACATTGCAAACCTGGTATAAGACA